CTTAAGGTCACACATTTGTATACCACGGCCAATCTAATTTCTACGTTTTCGCTAAAAATAACGTAAATTCGGTAGCTAGAGCTACACACTTATTGTACACGACGGCTGACCGACTTTATATATTTATATATCTATCATGAATTTGGTAAGTCGATTTATACTACATTATGCATACGATAGTCAAGTCAATTTCTACATTTTCTAATGTAAACATCACAAAAAGTAGGTCACTCAATTTCTTTAATTTTTTTTGCCAATTCATTTTAAAATTTAAAAAAATTAAATAAGATTTATAATTTTTTTTAAATATCGGTGAAATTATGATAATACTGTCGGACAATACGAACTTTTTAAATTTTAGGCAATAGACAAAAACGATTTAGTGACCGTTTTTATATTTTTATTCATTAAAAAATGTACTCACTGTATTCACGTTATTATAGCGATGAACATACAAATTCGGTCAGCCGTCATGTACAAAAAGTGTGTAGCTCTATCTACCGAATTTACGGTATTCTTGGCGAAAACGTTGAAATTAGATTGGCCATGATATACAAATGTGTGCAGTTCAGCCTACCAAACTTTTCAGCTAGTAAAATTTTAATTAATATTGATTTAATCCTTATTTCATGAACTAAAAAAGTTTATAAAATTTTTACAAAAAGTTCATTCAGTTGCGTCACTGCAACTGAATTTACGTTATTTTTAGCGAAAACGTAGAAATTAGATCGGTTGTTGTATACATAAGTGTGCAGTTTGACCTAACTCGATAACAAATACAGAAATTATAACTAATAATATAGAAAATATTACTATATTATGCGTTTTCATTTCAATAATCAAGAACTATTTTACGTTCTTTTATAAAATAAAAAACGTCAAACTCGATTTGCAGCAACTTTTAAAAATGTGTAACTCAACCTGCCAACATAACTTTACCCTAATAGAAAAACGTTGATATTGGATGTATATTTTCTTTTTGTGTTGAGTTTTATTTTACATTTTCATCAAATATATAAGCTATATATGCTTCTTCATAGTGCACCAATTTGAACTTTTAGTAGCTATAACTTTTGAACAATCAAGTACAAGAACTTGTTTTTAACATTTTTTTCTTCTTCAAAGTATTCAATTTTAACAGAATATCTCGAAAAAAATAGGGTGTCTATATGGATTTCATAATTAGATGGTGCACTTGCACAAACATCCTAAGGTTAAAATTTAGCTTTTGGAAACATATGATGAACATAAAAATTTGGTCAGCCGTCGTATACAAGATGTGTGTAGCTCTAGCTACCGAATTTACATTATTTTTAGCGAAAACGTAGAAATGAGATGGGCCGTGTTTTACAAAAGTGTGCCGTAAGACATTCAGAATTTTATAATTTTGTGGATAAAAGTTGAAGACGGTTATTTTGTTATTTTTTAAACATACACAACCGGTATTTCACAGGGGAAAAAAGAAATTATAATGAATTTCGAATATAACATAAACTTTTACACAAACGACTCAATTTATGTTATTTTAGCGAAAAAATTGAAACTTGCACGATTGTTGTATATAAAGTTAAGAGTTTCAGACTATTGATTTTAACATAGTTTGACCTCATCGCGCTTAGGATATTTATACCACTGTACTTTACGTTTATTTTTTAATTAAGAACTATTTTATTAAAAAACCGTTAAAACTCGTTTTGCAGCCACTTTTAACAATATTTTACTGGACCTGTCAACAACTTTACTTTACCTAAATAATAATAATAATATTTATTTAATAAACTCCCGAAGGCATTAAGTACAGTAAAATACAATAATATAAATTCAATAAATAATAATTTTAAAATCAATGCAGATCGTACAAAGCGGTTAATTATAAACAAAACATTAACATACAGACCCTTCGAGTGATAACATTTTTTGTTTTATATAAAAAGAAAAAATTATACATTAGACATGCAGATATAATACTAAAATACATAGAAATACAGACTAATGACTAAGAATACTATCACGTATTTCGATGCAGGACGAAGAGAATAAATGAACCGTTGAAGTGCTATTACATGAGGCCAACTACCTATCAATAGAAGTAAAGTAGCCGTACAGTGTTCTATGCTTTGAAAGGTAAAATGTTGGACGGCTTTTAGAGTTGGAGGGAACTGCTAGATTAAGTTGCCTAAAAGATGGCTATCATCAATTGAGCCATGAATTATATTACAAATAAAAGTAACTTTATCTCGTTTTTTTTAATTGAAACTCATTTACAAAAAATCTAAATGATCGAGTGACCTAACTTTTGTGATTTTTAGTCTATCGTCGTATGAATAAAGATCTACACGATCGACACACCGATCGTTTAATACGATAATTTAAATATTTTTGTAAAATAACTTAAGCGATTTACGCAAATAACATACAAAATTTGCTTCGATGCAAATTCTCAACTATTACTATTTACTAGGAATCATGTCGCAATATAAATATGTTGTTCATCTTTATAATAAAAATACTTAGTTAGTAAACAGGAAAATTTGATTGAAAAACAAGATTGTTTTCGAAACACTCGTGTAGTGCTGGCGTGTACAACCTTTTGGCATAAATAAAATTTGGCTTAAGGGTTCGGGGGTGATTAAATCTGTAACTATTTTATGTATGCATAACACGTGTGTATTATTGTTTGGCTGTTTATATGTAATATTATAACTTATTATTGTAATTACGGTACGATATTCTGTTTACAATTTTAACTAAAGACGAGCATTTCTTGAGTTGAAAAAAAAGTGTGCGAATACTATGTTGAACTAAAACGAGAACTATACATAATTTTATAGTTTTCATTTTAAGAGGCCTGTACACCTGCGCATTTTTGGTCAAAAACATCTCATTTTACTTTAGACGTACTGGTTCAAGAATACTCCGATTTAAGTTTTGAAAAAGCATTTGGATTCTTCATAACGTTTTCAAAACAATGACAGAGGAACAATATTAAAATTATTTTTTGTTAAATAATTATTTCAGATAAAAATTACAGGTTTTACATTTAATTAATTAACTAACTAAAAATAATTGTAAAATTGTGCCACAGTAATTGCCTTGAAAACGTTATATACAAAAAAAATCTTTCTCTAACTCTGAAATCGATGCATTTTTAGGATCAGTACGTTTGTAGTAGAAACATAAGTTTTTTAACTTCAACTTGATGCTATACCGACAATCTTTGAATGTATACCAGAGCGCGTTACTGTGTTGAAAATTTAGACATTGATGAACATGAAACTATGAATAAATGTTTTTATGTAATATAATTTATAAACTTTTATAGTTCGTGAAATAAGGATTAAATCAATATCAATTGAAATTTTACCGGCTGAAAAATTCGGTAGGCTGAACTGCACACATTTGTATACCACGGCCAATCAAATTTCTACGTTTTTGCTAAGAATAACATAAATTCAGTAGTTAGAGCTACACACTTTTTGTGTACGACGGCTGACTGAATTTGTACGTTTATCGCTATAATACATGAATTCAGTGATTCAATCTACACACGCTGAAAAATTCGGTAGGCTGAACTGCACACATTTGTATACCACTGCCAATCTAATTTATATACGATTTCGCAAAGAATACCGTAAATTCAGTAGAGCTACACACTTTTTGTGTACGACGGCTGACCGACTTTGATATATTTATCGCTATAATACCATGAATTTGGTAAGTCGATCTATACACATTATGCATACGACGGTCGAGTCAATTTCTACATTTTCTAATGTAAAAATAACAAAAAGTTGATTAGTCAAACATTTTTTTTTCTGCCAATTAAGTTTCAATGTTGAAACGCCAGGCAAAATTAATACTTTTTTGTAATATCAGTAGAAACTACTTGAAGAATAATGATCATAGCCGATAATGGACACAAAGACACTGTTTGATTAGACAACTATACTTTAACTATAACTAATACACAAAATAATTGAATATAATAATTAATCGTGCTCATAGTGATTTAAAAACAAGTTAATTTTAAAATGTATACAATAATATGCTGAATATTAATGCAATGAAGATGTTATAATTTTATTAAAAGTTGCTGCAAATCGAGTTTTAACGTATTTTGATAAATGAACGTAAAATATGACTTGAAAAAAAAGTTTGCATAAACGCATAGTGTAGTAATATATATAAATATCCTAATAGTAATGATGTAAAAATATGGCCGATCTAATTTCTACGTTTCGCTAAAAATAACGTAAATTCGGTAGCTAGAACTACACACTTTTTGTACACGACGGCTGACCGAATTTGTACGTTTATCGCTATATTAACAAGAATTCGGTGAGTCGATCTGCACATTTTATGCATACGACGGTTGAGAATTTTCATATTATCATTTTTTTTTTACTTTTTGCCCTCTTGTGTCTAAAGTTCAGAATTATTGTACAAAATGTAAAATAGATTATTGCGAAACGGGCCATTCTTCGGTATATATACGGTCGATTCAGTAGTCAAACATTGAGTTTAACTACAAATTACAAACAGTGCTGACCCGTTGCTTGTACATTTTCTAACACAATTCGCAATCATGTACCGATTAATTCTTGTGTTTCTCGCTGTATCCAGCGTTCGGTCCGCAATCATAACCGTGAACGTGGATACGCAATCCGGCGACAATCCGAATGTAATTTTGAATTCCGATCCAAATAATGTTATAATGTATGCAGAAAACCAAAAAGCGGCATTTACGATCAAGTACAACTACGCCGACAGTCATTTGGAAGTACGTGACTCGTTTTTAAGCTTCGGAAAATGGGCCGATGGTAAATGTAATGAGTTAACGTCTCCAAATGGTTCGAAAATCTCAAAAGAAAATCCGCTGGCCATTCGAGCGTGTGGCCGTGAACATTCGCCGTCGGGTGTCACTGGTTATTTATACCTGAGGAAGCAAGGCGAGAAGGAGAATGATTACAAGTTGACGTTTGATGTGCCGTGGGGAGCAGGTGCTAACAAGTTTGTGTTGACCGCGCTTAAAGAAGAACCGGTTATATCTTGTGAGCTAGCCCCTGATAGCGGATCAAGTATGGTTAATAAAGCTATTCGCTGTTTTAGAGTTCAATAATTTTCAACATTACCGTAATCGCATTGTATTGGTGTAGTCTTAGTGAATACTTTGTGTAATAAAAATTGTATTTTTTGGCAATAGTGTATTCTTTAGTGAACACGTTTTGTAATAAAAATTGTATATTTGGTTATTAGTGTAGTCTTATCGTATTGTAATAAAAATTATAATTTCAGAGCGAAATATATATTGGGTTTTTTATTAACAATTCCATTAAATAAAATGTACTGCCTTAGTTTTCGTTTGAAAATTTGTATGAAAAAACACTAATTGTGTTATTTTCTGTTATACAACATACACACTAACGATGGGTATCCGGTAATCCGAATTTTGACAAAAAAATGGTATTTATATCACTTAAACATATTTTTAGGTACAATGAATAGCTGTGTACTTAATTAAAATATTTTTGATGAAATGACAAATAAAACTTCATTTCGGATTTGTAGCAATTTATACCCAAAATTAAGTATTTTTTTTTTAAGAAGTTTTGAACGGGTACCGACAACCGCACACTGCGCCATTGTCTGCAATTACAAGCAGTATGATTTTGATAATAGTTACGGATACTGGTCGTATACAAGAAGTGTGCAGTTTGACCTAACTTGATAACAATTACAGAAATTATAACAAATAATATAGAAAATATTATTATACTATGCGTTTTAATTTCAATTTAATCAACATCTATTTACACATTCTTTTATCAATATAAACGTTAAACTCGATTTGCAGCAACTTTTAACAATATTTTACTGGACCTGCCAACTTAAGTTGATCCTAATGGATAAACGTCAATATTGGATGTATAAAATATGGCTGAAAAATAATTATAACATCTTCATTGCATCTGGATTTAACATGTTATTGTAAAAATTAAACAATTATCCTATTTTTTTAAAATTATTATGAGCACGATTTATTATGTTACAGATTATAAAATGAATAAATATGCTTACTCGTTTTCAAATTATGAAAGTAGTATACTATAATATTATTAAGACGGTTACGAAAAAAAATTTCAAATAAAAAGGTTATAGTTTTTAATCAAATCTTTTATATAAAAAAAATTTCAAGATCTATTTTACGTTCTTTTATTAAAAAACATTTAAACTTGATTTTTAGTTATTGACACATTTTTACTTAAGTAACGTAAAAACATGAATTATTGTGATTTAATTATGATTAATTGCAGTTTATTATGTTTTATTATCAAAAATCATAACAGCTGTCAGTGTTCTAGTTATTTAAATTTAATAATTCAAGTGAACTGCTAGTTGTCAATGTTTGAAAATAGTGTAAAAAATAAGTTATAGCTAGCAACATGTTATTAATGTGCCAACATTTAAAGTAGTGAACTTTTAAAAGTTTCGAATAAATTATGTTACGCAATAGTTATTTATTATGTTAAAACTTACATTGGAATTGGTATGAATCTAATAAATAAACAATAAACTTTTAATCCAATATACACCTCAATAATGTTGTAATTACATATTTAATACCAACTATAACAAATATTAAATAACTTAAATATAATTCCAAAAAAAAAAAACAATAGATTTCACAGTATGATCATACGTTCCATAGTTTTAATAATGTCCGTTTAAACATTTTTGTTGTTTTAATAATTATATATTGTAGTATAATTATTATGATTTATGTGATATATCATTTGCTTGTTTGTATGGATGTACACATCCCATGAGGTTTTATTTGGTAGTATACTTATCGTCAACTATATGCTCGTTTGAAGTATAATACAAACACTGTTTGATCATCTCGATGCACTTGTAATACATGGTACACGGTTTTTTTACATGCAAACGTAATAGATTTAAAAACACAAACAAGAAGTCCATGTGTTGGGCTTTTACTTTTCGGTGTGGTAGTAACTTGTTAGTTATTTCGTGGAATTTTTCCAACATCTCTGCCGGCAAGCATTTCATGTCCCGATCGAGCGACTGAGATTCACTTGAAACAAAAATAATGCAGAATATGTTAAAACAACAAAGGTTTTTCTCACAATTAGTATACCTCAAAGACATGGAGTCCATGGACAGGTACATCGGCCAATTTTCCACACAAGCTTGGCAACGGCATTGAAACTGATATTGTTCTAGGAGATGTTTATTGCGTTCCTCTTTTGAGCGTAACATGAAATTACTGCCATAATCGGTAAGCAGCTGCGAGAATTCATATAAATTAATTATACATTAGAAGTTCACCGCGTAGACAATCATTAAGATAATCCTATGTTTGTTTTATGGGCTTAATAAGTTGTTGGTATCGAATATACTTAAACAATAACTAGGACCGAGGACATTATCCTGTTTATTATCCTATCCTATATGGCGGAGATATGGTTACCCCTCTCATATTCAACAAATTATCTCAAACTGTTTATGCTTGTATATAAAACAGGTTGTAGGCATTTAATATTCAAATATTTACATTAGAAATTCGAGTGTTGCTTAAGCAAAAGCCATTCAGCTTTTGACATTGAGTAACGTCTCGTTAATGGGATACCTAATCCATCTAGGTCTAAAGTCGGAGGATTGTTGGAAAAGGCCACAAATAATCCCAACAAACTGCATAATATGTCAGTTATGATAATTGTTATGTACGATTTGTTTAATGATTATAATTATAATTATTCAACACGTCGACATAAAGATGATATACAATCATTTGTATACTACATAAAGAGAAGATCAATGGGCATTTGTCAAAATAGAACATAACAAGCTTTCAGAAATACTGAATACAACTGAGTTTTATGATTGAAATTCGACAATTGAGGCGCTCAGATGCCAAACCGATTAACTCCACTTTTTTTTCCAAATTTCGAATAACAGCATGGTTGGATTACAAAAGTGTATAATTTTCAGTGGCCAAGATAAATAACTCCATAGTTGAATTTTTCACTACTAGAGGACGTTAAGTGCATTGGCAATTGTACTAAATACATTGTTTCAAATAACTTTAACTGTCTGTTCTGAAAAATGTCATTTTATGGAGTTAATCAGTTTTGCTTCTGAGCGCCTCAATTATAAGTAACCACCTAGCCGAGTTATTAGGCGTTTTCCGGGTGTTTATTCGAAAAACGTCCCTTACACGTCCCCCCTTCCCAACCCCACATCCCTAGGGATCCATCATTCGGGATGTCACCTATCAGCTTTGCGACCCCGAAAACCCTGGATTCGTGGCAGAGCTTCAGCATGAATCGCCTGAAAACACCACGGCTAACGAGTTCCTTAGAGTACCTATGCATTATTGTACAGGGTGTCTCAAAAAGAATGATGGGGTTTCAAACGGCTGTAGGTCGTGAAGTATTGGACCTACAGCGCTCTGGTAGGGCTTGAATGAAAGAGGAAGTTTCGAATGATTGTCACTAGATGTCTCTCCGCTTTCCCATTTGTGTCGCCAGCCTTTATTGTTCAGTTTGTTAAGATGGCGTCCTCACAAGAGTAGTGATCGAGTTCGCGAAGCGTAATTCAGTTACGACTGATGTTCCTTGGCTTTAGTGGTTCGCCCCGAAGGGATCCCCTACGACTGCGGGCCGAATAGTAGCACTGAGTGCCGGAAAAGGTGTGTCACAAGAAGAAGTGACCAGTCAGAAGGCCACTTGTCGGAGGGCTCTACGTCACTTTAGTCGCCTTTTACGACAGGTGTGAAGCCCTTGGTAGAATTCTTTCTCCCCCAACCACAGGGATAAATTCAGTTACGACTATGAAACATCCGGGGTCAGAGACATCTAGCGGCAATCATTCGAAACTTGACAACTCCCTCTTTCATTCTACCAGAGCGCTGTAGGTCCACTACATCACAACCTACAGCCGTTTGGAACCCCGCCATTTTTTTTTTTTTTTGGGACACCCCGTGCTTTCCAAGATCATCAAAATAGAATAACGTTGACCATACTTGCGATCCTTTAGCGACAGGCTGGAGCGCTCGGGTGACCTCCACTCCGTTGTACGTGTGAACGATCACGTTGGGATCGCACGAATGGTTGATCAGACTGTACGCAGGACACAGTACCAAAGCAATAGTGGTTAGGTTCATGCACACGTTAGGTACTTGGACCTCGTTTTTCACGTGGTCTGGGAGTTCCATGGACACGTAAGAGTTCAGGTTTGTCACGCACAACAAGTGCACCAGCGATTTGCCGACCGTGTCGATCAGACCGGTCGGTATGCGATAGTTTTCGTTGAGTAGCAACAGCGAAAGCATTACAGAAGCCGAGCAGTGTATGAAAAACAGATTTTCCACCGCCCTGGTCGTCTCGTTACCGTTCAACGTGTAAATGGAGTAAAATTCGTCAGCCAACAGCCTTTCGTCAAATTTACCGCCACCCTTCGACCGAGCACTTTCGAATTGTTCCACTGACGAACAATACCGCTCAATGCCCAACTTGTTGGACAGCGTTATGAAACAACGCATTGCCAGAGCATGTGTCGACTCCACGGTGGGGTCGCCCTTGAGAGGGTACACAATCGAACACTCGACTTTATGGTAAGTGTCGTAAGCTTTTTCCAAGCAAGTCTGACCACAATAGAGAACCTCGAATCAAAGCATACACACATGTAAGTATATGTAATTACTAGGCAATTAACACGGGCCGTGAAAACGTTACCAAGCTATTGTTCCAAAAGGCATGACTGAACGGTAAATGTTCCTCGTCAATCGGTTAAGGTTTCAGAGTATCATATTTTAAATAATTTCCATCGCCGTTCGTTATAATGTTGACTTGGTAACGTTTTCAATCCGTCAATTAAGATAAATATAAAAAATACCTTTGTACATTTGGGACACGGTATGGCCGCCAGACAACGCTTGAAACAATAATCACAATTGTACTTCCATTCGTCATTCTTGCAAATTCCAGCGTAAGGTTTTTCAATAATAAGTATTTCGCCTAAAAACGTACACAAAAGCTATAGAACGTAGTGACGGCTAATAAGTTGTTACCTATACAAATTTACAGATAAAGTGGTATGTTGTCCAATAAATCACCCAACATGAATTAAACATTAAACCAGTTTCACAGCAGCTTAAGGACGGACTTGTGCTAGCTATTTGCTGCACTTTAATAAAGTATAAAATCCTTAACCACAAAAAATTATACACTTTAGCGTCAGCGCTCACAACAGACTGAGACCGATTATGGGCAAACAACCTTCTTAAATAGATAATATACAGCAGTATCATACCGGAAGTGATGGGTCATCGTCAAGACGTTTTCAAACAATTTTAGTAAAATATTTTGTAATAGACCAAGTCTTAATTTAAAACATTGTTCTTATTAACAAATTATGTTCTTTGAACCTAGTATTAAGTTTTTTTTTCGACCTACATATCATTTATCACATTTTTCACGTTATATTTTATAACTTGATATGTCTCATATGTACATAATAATTTATTACTTTTAAATTTTAATTATTTAAGCGCAAAAAGAATGACTGATCATAACCAGTTTTTAGGAATAGGTAAACAATTGATAGAAAAACAATTATGTATTGGAAATATAAAATAATTATAGTATTCTTACCAGGAACGATATCTCTAGTAGCGACCAGACCTCGTCCCATATCGTCTAGTTGTACGACTTCAACAGATTCAGCCAAGGCGGGAACATTGCAGTTGGCACGTCCCGTAAAGTGCAAAGATATCTTTTGTGATTTCTCCACGACGTTCACCTCCGCCGGGCGTTGGCACTCTTCAATGCTATTGGAAATCCTGGTGACAATCGTTTCTCTGTCGGTAGCCGACATTAGAGCTTCGCCCAGAGCCTCAAGACTTTTCTGATCAACAGTAAGAAAAAAAAAATAAAATCTTCACATTGGTACACGTTAATGGGTATACAGAATTACAGTGGAGTTATAAACGTATTAAGATTAAATGAGGCGCTCAGATGCCAAACCGATTAACTCCACTTTTTTTTCGAATTGCGAATAATAGCATGGTTGGATTACAAAAGTGTATAATTTTCAGTGGCCAAGATAAATAACTCCATAGTTGAATTTTTCACCACTAGAGTGCGCTAAGTACAATGGCAATTGTACTTACATACATTGTTTCAAATAACTTAAACTGCCTGTCCTGAACAATTTCATTTGATGGCTTCTGAGCGTCTCAAATATAGAATTTGCTTAAGAATATGTTTTTAGTTCCTAAAAGAAATTCTGAATAAAAAAAAAAGTTACAAATCGTTAAAGCTTTGACTAAGTCCAAACAATGAAGAATAAAATCCAAAACAATAGTTTATGTGTGTGTGTGTGTGTACTTTAAAATCAATGTTAATATAAATATGTACCCAGTACAGTTCAACGGCCAGCGATACGTCGCCCAGTTGCCGGTAACAGTTGGCTTTCCTTTCCAACAACTTGTGCACCGAAGCCGGTGGGTACATGCCGGTGCGCAGGGCCCTGTCCACGTCCTCGACGCACAGCCGGTATTCGTGCATATGATACAGGACGGCCGACCGGTTGGCCACGGCCAGCGAGTAGTCGGCGGAGTTGACGCTGGCGATCATCACTGCCCGCGTGTACAGGCACAGCGATTCCTCGTCGTTCTTCGCCTTGAACTCGTCGTTGCCGCGCGACCTGAACACGCCGGCCACGTCGTCGCTCTTGTCTATCACCGAGTTGTCCATGTCGGCGCGGGCGCCGATGCCCTTCAGCTCTTTCCGCAATCGCCTGCGCCACCGCCGGTGGGCCTGCGACAGTTTTATCGTGGTGCCGTCCCTCTTGGGCAGCCAACCGGAGGCGTCCAACAGCCCGTACACATAGTGGAAACGGGCCGCCGCGTTCGGCTCGTCCAAGAATTTCGCGTACACGTTGTCTTGCCGACCACCGCGGTGGTCGTCCATAGTTTCTTTCAGGTGTTCAATGTACACGTACTCGGCGATCGGCATCCCATGATGGGCCATGATCGTCGTTTGTGCGCCAACTGATCAAAACGAAAAAAAATAAAATAATTGTTTCATAAAAATGAATAAATCCGCGGCCACGCATTACACGGAACAAACGACACGGCGGCCAGCGGCACAAATGCATAATATTCGGACTCATTTTGTCGCGGTACATCCGCCACAATAGTGCAACCGCGTTATGCGAAAATGCAGTGTATAGGTAATTATTATTCGTCCTCAAGTGGTGTGGGAAACGTTAGACTATCTAGGTGTTACACGAGTAGTGCCCCGATGCGGAATGTAATTAGTACAACGACCGGACAATGTCTTAAGGGCATCGAGTACAACTATATTATAATATAGGTACCCATCCCAGGCGGGAATGTATTTTTAAAATAATTACACATTAAACACATTTACAGTCGGTGCAGTCCAAACCATCTCAATAAGAAAGTATATTATACACAAGTGAGTAGCAGTAATTTTTGAAAAAATGGTGTACGCTATAGCATATCCATTCTAGATCTACCTGTAGTCTAATTTTCAGACCTAAATCACAAAATCGTTGTTTGAAAAAGTGAAATAAAGAAAAAATGTCTAGGGCAAAGAGTATATGATATTTTTTTGGTTTGTCGACGTCAATCCGTAGAACTGCGTTTTTTCGATTTTGAAGGGGAAAGGGTGATTTTTTTAAAACTTTTCCAATAACTGGTCCAATAAAGTATCTCATATATACGATTTGTGATCTATAGAGTTGCTACACGAACAAATCGGTTCGGCGGTTTAAAAGATAATATCGTGGGTCCAGGCACAAAAAAAAGTTTTTAAAAAAAAAACACATTGTAATTAATACAATACCTTCTCAACTCCGCATCGATGCTTAAACATAATATTATGAAAATTATCACTTTCGTCGATACGGACCCTTTCAAGGAAAGAAGATGGATGAGAGGCTGATGCAGATGGGAATGGTTTCAGAAAAATAAACAGGAAAATGACGTCGGAATACAGATTCGAAAGATGTATATTATTTATAATTTAGATATTTATTTTATTGTATTAATTAAGTTGTTGTTCGCGAGCTCGCCTCGTTCAGAGGAAAACGGGTTTTTATATTTACAATTAATCATTAATTGTATGTGTGATGTCAATTATCGATGGTGTGCAAACAGTTCCCTCTCAGGTTAGGTTAAAAAAAACCGCAATGCTTCACCAAACAACACAAAGAGACACATTATGTTATGTAAAAGATATGCGCTGAATATATTAATTATTACTGTTTTAAGTGCTTTATAATATTAATACATAACTAGCATTCTTATTTATTACACCTATTAGCCAAATGTGAATATCATTGGAAAATAAAAATTCTTAAAAACGTGTTGACTTAAGTGGCAAACTGGGGGATGCTTACGGAGGATGCTTAGTTCCTCGAAAATAACTAACAAGCAACAAACATTAGCTAGTGGAATCGTTCGTGTGTAATATAGTATTGAAAACAAATTTTGTTTATACAAGGCGATTGGTTATCTATGTGACCCACCATTCAAACAAATATTAGACTTTTAAATAATTCTTTTTAACAATTTTATAGGTGATAGTTAGCTCAAATTTGATATATTTTTCAACAATATAACCATCCCTAGTGCGTTAAAAATTTATGAACTTAAGATTTTTAAATCGCAACGTACATAATATTATTATTTTAACTCTTTAAATTTAGAATACATTTCTGAAAATGTTGAATGGTTGATAACCAGTTTTGGATATTTACTTTTAAAGTTATTTAAGTTTAAAATTCAAGACGGGAAGAAAGGTGGAGTTGGTGTAGTATTATTAAATAACTCGAAAAGTAATAATCCAAAACTGGTTAATGACCATTCAAATTGTATAAGGTTGTGGGTTATATGGGGTTGTATAGTTGAAAATATATCAGATTTAGGCTAACAACTGTAGAAGTATGAAAAAGAATAGTTACTTAAAGTGTAATGCCTTTTAAAATATTAACTGGTTAATTTCATAGCTAGTGGCTGTTCCAACTCATCTTAACCGTGCCAAAAACTATTGCACTTGACACAGACCCGCGTGTAAGCCATTTTTTATAACGTTTTTATGAACTCACAATCTTGTTAATGGTTTCGTTTACATATCTACAATAAAAATAAATTCACGACCGTGTTTAGCTTGACGCATCTAAATTTAGTCTACTCCACCAAAACCTTAATCAATTCATAAGGTATTTATATATGAAATAAAATTAAAACTTAATGGTTAGTCATAAATTAAAGAACTCGTTTTTTGTTTATAATGTAAGTATAAGTGCTTATATTATTTAAAAAAAAAACAAGTTTAATAATTAATGTTCAAGCGTCATTCCCATTTTTTTTTTAAACATGATTTTATAGTTATAGTATAGATACATAGGTACCAAAGAATATTTATTTTAATAAATTATTCTATAATCCTACTAATAACTATATTATACTCATTAAGTAGGCACGGTTTAAATTTTAACAATACAGTTATTAATTTTGCTGCACTCGTTAAAGATAATATTTACATGGTCGTGAATTGTTGTACAAAAAATAAATAATTTAAATACCTAATGTTCAAAACCAAAACAGCAGGTGGCCAAACCGGATTTCATTTTCGAAACGAGTCGTGACGTTGAAAGTAACATCATTCGTAGATCATCACCGTATAGGTCGATAAGTATGAGACAAACGCGTTTAATAATTCACTAAAATATGTCACTTTCAGAAAGGGTTATGACTTCTGGTTTAGAGGGTGTATAAAATGTTTTAAATTTATAAAATCACTTTGTTTAGAAAACGTTACGATGCGATACCGCGATTAGTACTAAAACGAAAAGTGTCTTAATTTTTTCTGTGGATCATAATATTATACTCCCACCAAACAGCGTTGAGAAAAATACAACGTATAATGTATGTATATGTTTTTCTAATACAAGCAAACACGTTTTTAATTATAACAATATATTATTAAATGTAGTTTACATTTACCAGTGGGTGAAAATAATATTAGGTATTACCTACACATAGTACAACGCAATGATACACAACATGTAAATATAATATCTACATTTTAGCAGCCAATATAGTTTTTTTTTTTTAAACGATAAATATAGAAAAAATAATGTATTAAAACAGACAAATCTAGAAAATTTAATTTTTCTTAAAATTGGTAATATACCTTGTTTTTGGTCAAACAATTATTACGAATACTCTATCCTTACCTAAGTCTAAACTGATAAAATAAAAACAAAAATGTTTTGCACACATTTGGACAACTGACAAGTCTTAAAATTCGACAAATGGTTAATTGTAGTGTACAATATTATTTTACATAGTAAATCTTAAATTAAAACAAATTATAACGAACCGTTTGTATCATAAAGTCCACTACTTCCCTCTATTGTGAATTGTGATCTTTTTAACTTGTTTTCCTATTATACATTTTTCTTATCTTTCAATATACACACACACATAACATTTCAATTTATTTTTTCTTACTTTTACTGCTATTAGTATTTGCCACACCTGTCAAACTTTTTCTTAATTACCTACCAATTCATTTTATTGTCAAATCTTATCACTCACACACCCATTTTTCTCATTTTAGCCACTTCCATTATCCTTTCATTTGGTGGTACTCTTCTTATGATTCAAATTAAATGATGACAGTATTATAAGCATTATGTTATGTATGCACCTTTATAGTAAGTACATATTGTACTTACATAATATGAGTAATGATAATATCAGAATACATATATATGTTAAGATCTGTTTAAACAATCTGACTTCATACTCATTACAATCACTATGTAATAAATAAATATTATATTGTTACATTTTGATGGATGCAGTTTTTAAAATTTGCTTATAAATCACAAAAACAACAGATGTCCGATTTTCCTAGAGCTGTTTTTCTTAGACGTGATTTTGATTAGGTACCATTTAATTTGCCTTAAACCTATTTTAAATAAAGATTTTGTTCAGAAGTGTCATACAAGATACTTACAAATTAGATGCCGCTCCGATTCCGCCGAGTTTATTCCTTGCTATGCGCGTTTAATGATTATCAATAAATAATATTCAAAGTTGTATTATACATCAGTCATCGATAGGTAACCAATAACCAATATATAACTAGTACTTAAAATAAAATGCAGGACAATTTAACAGCTATTACTTACCGTGGAGTAATCTTAAATATTAAATTATTTCATTAGCAAACAGAAAAATCCGGCAAGTGGAAAAACAGCTTAGCTGAAATCTAGCGACTGTATATTTACCATCGGATTTTCAAATGAGCTCTTAAGTTAATCTTTCAACACAGATGATACAATATTAATTTGTGAGTACCGAGTACCTATAGTGCAAAAAAATATATTTAATTAATTACTATATCTACTACATGCATAGGTTTAATTTATTTTGTAACTATTACGATAAAACTATTATTGAAGAAACAACAATTTTATAATTTTTTAATAACAATTATTAGTATCACGATAATACATTACACGTACATTTAAGTATCAACAGTTAGCAAACACAGACAAGTAAACAATAAATTAAAAAACAATACCTTTCAGATTGCTCCATAGCGAAGCTAAATACATTCTAAACCAAGCAAAGGAATCTCTTAATAATATTCCCTTAGTTATTTAATACCTACTATGTGAGTACAGTACAAAATAAACGGTTTTTTTTTTTTTTTACTAGAAAATAAATATATATTAATGTACGTATCTAGTGTGTTAAAATGTAAAAATTACTTTTTAACAACTAAAATATGTATGTTAATTTTGAATCCAAGCTCATTTAAATTAAAACGCAATAACAAATTTACAATAATGTAAAATGGCTATTGTTTTAACTTAAAAAATAAAACTATTTTTCTATTAACTAAAATTGCATTATTTTTTTGTACAAAAGCGTGGATAATGTTTTTAGGAACAGTAAAGCAGTCTTAGCACTTTTGAAATAATATTTACTCAGCCGAACTACCAAAGTAAAAGAACTACCTACATTTTTGCAGACAAAACAAAATATTTACCCGCATGTTTCATTTATTAAAACGTGGTTTACTGAAAAAAATACAATGCATATACATTTTATAAACTATAATAGTCTTGCAAATAGTATTTTCAGTTGTTATTTTAGCAAGACATTTTCGTAACTAAATAAATGAACACGAGATTGGTAGTTCATTCATGACAATTTTCCAGAAGAGCAAAAACAAAGCTAGGAAAAAATAGATTTGTACTTTTTCACTGAATGGATCTTTACATTCGACAATAGTCCCCCCCAATGTACATTGAATGGTGGTACATTAACTCAAAATCTGAAAATGGACAAGTGCCCTTTAAACGTACAGCATACAGTTAACAATGTTATTATATTATAATTTGTTTAAAATGTTCAAATTATATTTTCTCTTTAATCATAATTATTTTTTTTTTGTATTAGGTTTTTTAAGAACACCTATTAACAGAAAAAAATACCGTAACTGAAACAATTGTAAAGTGTTAAGATGTCGTTTGTAATAAGATTTGTCTACACAATTTCTAACTTTTTAACAATTTCATGTTGACAAATACCATTGGTAAGAAAATTTATGATGATAAAGAAGTAAAAAATACCCGAATTTAATCGTTTTTATGGTCCACCGTATAATTTTTTAAAGTGTAAAGTACTTATATTATATAAAAATAAAATAATAATAATATCACATTTATATAAATTAAGATTTGTATTTATTACGTCCCATAAATGCTATAACAAATAAAACACATAACAGTTATTTTTTTTTTCTTATTATTAATTTAAAACTAGGATAACAAAATAATTGAATTAAAAACAATACTACATATAACAGCCATTTTGATTAGAAATCAATATTGAAAACAAAATATTCCCATCAATACCTAATCTAAATTATTTTCTTTGGTGAACAAAAACATAATATTATACTACTGCATAGATAATACATTAAGTCAAAACAATATCAACACTTATTTTCAAAACTAATTCAATAATTAAACCAATAGACGTGTGATAAAATGATTTATTTACAAATTATAAATAAACCGAGTTTAAAAGCGTGGTTAACTATTGCCAAGTAGGATCATATCCTTTCCAATCGTTACTAGGCGCTAAATACACCCTTCTGTTTTCATACGTAAAACTAATTATGCCCTTGTACGCCGTTCTAGGAACACCACTTTTGAAATCGTCCATCAGGCCGAATAACTTGGTTAACGACTTCAAGTTATTTTTGGTGTAATAAGTGATTCTGACTGGATCATTGTGTTTAATTGCTTTAGTCTTAAGTTCATTATAGTTAACCTGTGGTGCTTTGTAAACATGCCCAACAAAATTGTTGTCATACTCATTTTTTAATAAATAAGTTAAATTAAATTTGGTAAAATCAACTGGTACTTCGTTCAAGTAAATAAACTTGAGATGTTTGTCATAAAAAAGGCCATTGCTAACACCGATTTTCCCAAATGTTTTACTTCTAGAAAGTTCGGGCCTTATACATGATCTACCTTTCCTTTGGTCTGGATGTCTCATCCAATCATCCCAATAGCTGTTCGGCCATTTTTTATGTAATTCTATCCATAATTCGCGGGTTAGCATCCAACCCAATCCAGGGAAAAAATCAGTACGATACAACAACTTTGGGTCATTTCTATCTATTAACGCAAATTTACCATTATCATTCCAAGCTGACACACACCATAAAGTTCTATCTTTTTGCAGAATTGGCAAGGTAGCTTTAAAATATTCAAAAAAATCGGGCGCTACATCCAAGTCATCTTCTACTATTACGGCAGTCCCATAATTATACGTGTTAAAAACTTGATTCAGAGCCCATTTATAGTGCCTCGCAATTTTGAAATAGCCATTAAACTTTTTCTCTTTGGAAGGCACCTTTATTTCTTTCTGATCAGGCTGATGTATGTGTGTTATTTCACTGCCAAAACTTTTAATCACTTGTGATGTACGTTCATGGATACAGTCTTGAGAAACAATTATAGGAAACTGTTCTTTCGACTTGCGATATTTCAGTAGCTTGTTTAAGCATCTTGATATGGATGGTCGATTACAAGCAATAACTAAAACTGCCACAGTTGATGTATTAAAATTTGACTTGTTAAACTGATAACCGTCTTCATAACTAGTATAGTTAAGTTGTTTAATGTTTTCTCTGATTAAATTATGTGTTTCTTTTTCAATTTTTAAACGCAGTTCAAAATCGTCTAGGTTTTCCTCGAGATAACTGTTTGGTTTAGGAATCAGATTATCGTTGAGCAAAAAGTTGTTAACAACAAGCCAAACACATATGCTAAATAAAATTAATATTAATAAACGGTTTTTTTTCATAGTAGCATGGGCTGGCTAGCTAAATGCTGGACTGTATGCCGATAGTTGGTAATATTTCTATTACAGTTTTTCATACCATATTATCTTAACCAATCACCAAGTATTTTCTAATCATAATGATTCGGCATGCATTTATTTACCAATAATGTGAATATGTCCGTTAAAAAAAATTCAAAACCTAAAATTAAAAATATTGAATTAAACATTTTTTTTTTTTTTTTAATACTTATTATGAAATCACATTTATATGAGAAAAACGTAATGATTCTTTTAATTTTAATTTTCAAGACATTTCTGAACCAAAAAAAAAGAAGGAAATAAGACTTAATATCAGCGAAATATACTCGTATGTCTCAAAAATGTTTTAACAATTACCTTTGAAAGGCTATAAAATATCTATACTTATCAAATTACCAAAGTATGAGATGAAATGTATACAGAAATAAATCAAAATAATTAATATACATGAACAGGTTAAATGTAAGCATTATTGTATTAATATCAAGCAACAAGCAATTTTGGTACATTTCTATTATCTCAACTACTGATGAATACAAGTCAACACAGGAAGAAGCACAGTGGAGTAAAGAGACTAACAGTTTGGAGGGAGTAATACATTTGAAATTGATAAAACCATTTTCAAATACCTTGATTTAAATAATATGTGAATAGTATTAGAAAATATTAACGATTCTTTAAAGAAACCCATCATGCTACCACTATTTCTCTAGAAAATAGAAATGGTAAATGAAAAAAAAAATAGATTGGTTTTCTTGAGATGAAATAACGTTTATATTATGGTATTCGTGACAATAGATATTGCCGCAATTAGTCAAAATTAATGTTATATAATCATGATTCAACTTGACTTGTATCCAATTAGTAAAATATTAACTTATTTGTTAAAAGCCATGATAAGCCTTAAAAGTATACTGAAAAAGCATTATTTGAAAAAAAACTAATGGTTTCAATTTTGAATACTTTTATGAAAAGTAAATGTATTTGTATGGGGCGCTAAAATCGTCAACATTGTGTCAGGCTTTTTAACATCTAAACGTAAAAAAAAGACCACTTTCAATTTTTCTTAATTAAAAAAAAAGATTGACAACAAATTTTTAAGAAAATGTTATAGGGTCACAATTAATTAGGCTTTAGTCTTCTTTTTTGTTTTAAAGATGTTCGGGTGATCTTTTTGAATTTTTGTCTAATAAAGTACATGTTAAATACGATTTTTGGTTTATTGAATTGTTACATGAAGAAATCGGTTCAGCGGTTTAGCTGATACTATAGGTCAACACAAATATAGAAACACGTTATTATAAAAACTATATTTTACCTCTAATAGATGTACTAAAAGTCATGCCCTTTAAGGAGACATAATTTTCCCCAATAAGAAATCAACAAACGATCTTTAAAATATTATGGTTACTCCATAATAGTTACTTAATTGCAAGAATAATTTTAGCATAAGAAATAAATGTACAATTGTAAACATTTTAAAGCTTTTGCGTAACATTAGATTACTTTTGAAGCTGAAAAATATATTGAGTAAAATACAAGTTGTTTAGTACTATTATATTTATTAAAACCCAAACACACAGATAGACTCTAAATAACCAACTTTAAGAGTACAGGGTTTTGAAAAAAGCAATACGCTGAATACATAAAAGAATAAAGATAAAACTACTTATTACAAATGCTTGATCAAATATACTATTTTAGAAGCGAAATAAATTAAACCAAGAGATTAAATTCCTTTTGCTTAGATTAGAATATACAAATTACATGGCCAGTAATTAACACTATAATAGTACTAGTAGTTGTCACTGCACTTTAACTTTTAAATTCTACATGTCACTCAATGTATTTCATCATAATAAGTATTTAATTCTTCATTATGTACTTATAATTATATTATTATAATAACAATAATAGTAAACCTATATTTTGAAATCATAGTAATATGTATATGGATAATAATTATTAGTAGTACATTTCATTTAAAATTACACTATTATAAACTGGAAACATTTCCCCTCCCTAAAGCACCTACATTAGGGATTAAATTGATTACAAGATCACTAATGTTTTTCACTTATAAATGCAAAATATTTTATACAATATTACTTACATAGTCCCTTTTTAAATGATATCTGAAAGACGTATCACAGTATCATTTTTTCGATAGACTGATTAATTATCTGAAAATATAAAATAAACGTTAAAAAACATAAAATACTTTTAAAAAAAACCAATTATAAATGTAAAAAAATATATATAATATATAAAAACAAAAATATATAAATATTTGTTTGTTACCCACAGTAACAAATTATGTTACTACTACTATTGATTTTTAAATATTCAAATTAGCAGTACCATATACAATTCTGTCAGCCGATTAAATTTAAATTTCCCGCTGTCAAGAGGTACAACCATAGACAAGTAGTTATTACTTATTAGGATTTCCTCTTGACAGCGGAAAACTTGCTTACAGTTACCATTATTTTACATAGTACAGCTTGTCTTAGTATTTTAAATCAATGCCACTACATATTATGCCTATTAACTTCGCGAGCAGAGATGTAAAAATTATAATATAGTCAATAGTTTTTCTCTTTTCTTACTATCATTACATATTTTAAAAATTATAAACTAATTTTTTAAATGATTAAATTTAAATTTATCTATAATACATCTTTAATTTGATTGCTAACATAGTATTATTAGTTTATAATCTAGCTGTCAAATTTAATACTATGTTATGAATAATATTAGCATTAAAAATTGTTTTTACAAAAATATGGTTTCACATAATTTTTTTTAGAGTAAACACAAGTGTCAGTCAACAGTATGTATACAAAAGTGTTCCATTTCCATCTATGGTTTATGTTATACCAAACTACATTTCTCGTTAATACTAATCCGAATTATAACCTATAACTAATGATGACATACTATAAAACTTATAGGGCGATTGACAATTTTTACAGGAAAATGTTTGTTACCAGTCCTCAGGCAGGGTTTGAACTTGCAACTTTAAAATTTCTAGATACTATACTGCGTTCCAAAGAGAACATATCAGGTTGCGACCGGTTTGTGTTCCTAGCACCTCCAACTGCGATGTGCTTCTGTTAGGTTTGTTGATCGGACAGAGACCGTCAGATACTTTTGGCAAGAATGAGAGAAATTTGCCTCAGCGTCAACCAGCTGTCAGTGGTGATGCGCAAAACCGATATGTTCTCTTTTCGTACGGAGTATAGATTTAATCTGTGCATAAATCTAATATATTGTACATATCTAGTAGATATTGTCCACATTAAATATTATTATTTTTGTTAAAAATAAAATAAAAAATAATCTCAAAAAAATCAACTAAGTACATACATAATTAATTACTAATTACTAGTACCCAGAATAATTAGGTACGTAACTTAAATAGAAAAGAGACAAATACATTTTTGTTCTCCTCATATACTGTACGGCATAGAAAATGCATAAAAAAAATAATAATTACCATTTAAAAATACTGGTTCAAATTATATTGTAGTACAATATATGATAGCTGCGCTTAAGATGCCATAGACTTCAAATCGTTATTTGATAGCTTTGTAAAGCAATCAAAGTTGCATTGTAAATACAAAAGCTCATCAGGGAACCCTAAACAAAAACAAATAACCAATTAATAGTTGAAAAATTGAATAGTTAAGCAATAACTTGAATTTCATACACAACCAACAATAAATGCAATTTTTGGAATATTAGAAACATTGAGACTTGAAAATGCACAGCTCCACAGACTTCTAGTCCATGGTTTCTCTATAATTTATTTTAATATAACATAAATTCTGTTAATACTGTAGCAACAGTATCTGTATCGGTGTTCTATGATTTACACTACTGTCGTACTTGCTGACATCGAATAGCATAGTCGTTCAGGAATGTTTGATGTGTACTGCGTGTTGATCAACTATTAACAGCACGTACATGTATGGAGTTGAAGCAAAAACGGCGATTTTTGCATATCTTAAATTAAAAAAAAAAATTTGTAAAAAAAAAAAGTTGATTAAACATTATGATAATTACCTTATTAATTATTGTTTATGCGTAGTGCGTTCCGGAGTTTAGTTCAGAACCAACAAAACGTTTGTACCGACGTTACTGATGATAGTGTAACTACTTTATTAATTATGTATTTACAAATATTATTGTATATAAGCCGACAAACCGATTTTGGACGGTGTCGAATGTGTAGTGTATACGGTGTATCACAATTCACACGTCAAACTAAATATTATGGTAACTGATAAGCGTCGACAAAAACATCACCAACAAGTCATGACATACAGTTCTATAGGTCGTAACCGTAGTATACATGGCTGTAGCACAGATAGGGAATCTGCGAATACTCAATGAAAATATAAATCTAAATAGATAAACAGGAAAGCCGTGACCCCCGGCTGCAGAGATGACAACGTTTGCGCAACTGCGCGGGCTGTTATCACTGTTCGGTTATCACGTCACGTCCAGCGTGAAGCGCCAACTTTGAAACGTAGAATAGACAAAAGCAGAAGGGTCACTTTTGATGTAAACAAAAAAGTTGCCGGCCATTTTGTGACCGACTATTTAGTGTTGTAATAATTATAATATTGTGTTACATCTATACACAAAAAAAAAAAAATTATAATAACGTGTAATATATGTAACAATACAATAGCGGTGTAGCCTCGAGAAGATGGCCGCCGCGTTTTTGCGTGATAAGCATCTCGCCCGTATTAATTGTTATCAGTGTCCGGGGCCTGGTTAAACACACGGACAACCGGAACGAGTACGCACGGCCGCGTTCAGCGCAGCCTGTAACCAGTTGGCCCGAAATAGGATAACAGTGTTTGGCCGGGGCTGTTCAGTTTCCCCGTGGCATGCGCGGTGCAGGTCGTGTTTTTTCGACGTCTGATAACCGTTAAAATGTTCAAATCTCAATAGTATTAAATTCAAACAGTACATTTGTAATAATTACTAAATATTATACCCATGGTGTACGATTACCTGTTACCGTCAACTATTCAAGATGGATAGTCGTTGACCGTTTTGAACCTACAAGACTGTGACTTTAGTTCTCGAAAACGACATATGGCTCCTATGGCGGCGATCAACTTGATGCTTGTATGTGTATTCGTTCTTTTAATCGTCAGTTCGCAGTCCAGTTACACGGGAAAAGACGATACCGTACAGGTGGAATGCACAAAAAAATGCCATCTCCAGGTAATATAATTTATTCGATAATTATTAAACAATTCACGAAGTATACGAGCTACAAAATTCTAAAAACAACCGACAGTTTAATAATACAAAAATATAAAATTTATTCAATACCTATTTAAAACTATTTTTGTTAAATTTAATTTTGCCATAAATAATAATTATTTCTTTAAAGTATGTATAATACTCATATCGTATGGTGTTAAACACTTCAAACAGTTTTGTATTTTATTATTATTTTCAACTATAGTTCAATTACCACATCTTATTGCTAACCGTTTGTTATGGCTTAACAATATGTTTTGTTATCGAAAAATCTTTGTCGTGGCCACAACAACGATACTTATGGCTAATTTTTTTAAACTAAATAAAACAAAACATAAATTGGATATTTTTTAGCTTCAATACTGAGCTAAGAAAGTATTGTTTTTATAATAATGTGCTTATTATATATGGGTAATCAAGATTTGTTTTAAACGCTTGACTTGATCACTTAATAGTTATTTCATAAATCATCAGATTCGGTGAATAACAGTATGCAATTACTTAAATTAGGTTCTACTCATGTAAGATTAACTTTTAAAAGTGTCATTTTATCCAGACATCGGGATACCTGCCCAAAAACACGTTCATTTCAACTTTCATCAAGTAGACAATAGGTAATATTTTTATGCTTTTTTTATCTGATTTTAACTTATTCAACAATAGAATCTTGGTCGCTATACCCACACGGATCTGGGAAAACATATGAGACACTAGTTTAAGGGCTGTATCAAGCCATCCGTTCTTTTGGTTATTTGATGTTTGTATTCAATCGTTTGGAATAAAATTAGAAGAAAAATATTCGTATTTCCACATGAAGAATTTTTTATAATTTAATGGGTGCAGTTTTATAAGTATACAAAACGTCGTAACGTTTTTATTTTTGTTTGCTTTTGAACATTTTTTGGAAAATATACGTTTTTTTATATTTCAAGGCAATTTCAACCTAAATCGCACTTTTCAAAAATAGTAACATGAGCCATTTTCGGTGGAACTTTAATTACGGGTAACTTACAACTTGGTTGAAATGTACAATTGTTTTTATTTTATGTATTATCATTGGCTTATAATTTATTTCGGCAGCCTCGGCAACAATGGCATTGTTTGTTGGTTTTCATTTTGTTGTGCTTTATATTAGGCCATCAATATACTATAGTTGGATTGGGGTGTGTTGTTTTGACACGTGTAGTTTGTGATACCTGGCATGGCACGGGCCGCTAAAAACAACGGGTGGTCTTCCAACCGGAGTCGAGCACAGAATATCCAAAAATTCAACCCAGGCCTGGACTGATAAGTGTCGGACATTTTGTTTTTGCGGTATAATTATTACGGTTTTTCCTGGAATGATATGTTACACGTTTTTAAAAAATATAAAACTGTCTATAGCACACTATGTATATTATCTTGTCGTTGATTTTCTAATATTTAAAATACAAGCCCCGTCGACTATTGTGCGCCAAAAGGGCGACAGGTTCAATGCAGATTCCTGTCGTCGACAAAGAGGTATCTTGCCAGATAGCGAGACACGGGATGGTAGAATTCGCACCTGCCCTTCCAGTGATAATTAGTTAATTATCAATTAATTGGCATTCATAAAAACATGTTAAGTAGGGCTCGTTCAGTGATTTCTTCGGTGGAAAGTCGATTGAATATTTAAATGAAATCCAGTTAAGTTGACTAGAGTACGATATGGATAGGTATTTTTCTTAAAATGCCTGTTGTTGTCGTCGGCACATGCGAGCGCGTATTATTATTATTATTATTTATATTTATTATCAACTAGTTTCTATTATTGTACAATATTTATAGTAGCAATAGTTATAGTCGGTTACAAAAAAAAAAATAATAATAATAATATAGAAAAAATGCTAGGAAATTGGTCGCCTCTGAACAATTGCCGCTGTAAGCTCGTGCTTATTGTTTTTACTGGGAAATGCGGCAATGGCTGTAATATTTCACTGTTGACGGTGGGAAATCCGTATAAAATCGGTCACCGTTTTTGTGCACAGCTTTTGTATATTATTTTAAAATCGATTGTCTTATCAATAATCATATTATTGTCCCGAATGACTGATAAATCATTTTCACAACATCGAAGACTCAGTGACGACCTAGGTACTTCCATTTCATAAGAGCTTTTCGATTATATCTTGTTATAATTCAGAAAAACTAATTATTGTGATTTATACTCATACTCAATACCTATCAGCTATTCGTCTTGCAAAATACCTGTAACAAACTAACTACCTTTACGAAAATATACCAGCCTATATTAAACATAAATAATTGGTGTTATCATTTTTTCTTATTTAATAATGAAGTGTTATATTTAGAATTCCGTATGATTATGCTTGACCATTGCTTTATTTCTATGGCCTGCAATCGATCAAATCGTTTTAATAAACTGAAAATAAAACTTAAAAAAAAAAAAACATATTTATAACTCGTGTACAATTTTCGATAAGTATTATATTATAAGATTATATTTCGATAAGTTATGTTTTTTCAAGGATATTTTTTGTCATTAAACATATGAAAAAATTGTACTGCATTTTGATTCTTTCACACAGCATATACATTAATTGTATTTAATAAAAAAAACAGTTTAATATTTTCGCCCCTCATCTATAATATATATATATATAGTTAGGATTTATCTCAAATTTGTTTTGTATGAATGACAAAATTGATAATCTTTAAGACTATAAAATTTTAAGTAGCCCATAAATACGAATACAGAATTATTTTCTATGCACCATTTAAACAACAGTAGCTGTACAACAAAATCGGATTTCTTTTGGCAACAAGAACTTATATGATTTTATAGTATTTTTTTCGCTAAATTCGAATCTACTTTCCAATGAGCGTAACAGAGCTTGCACACAAATTCTATGATCTGCTTGCGCGTTCAAGACTGTTTCAAACCAGTGCCATCGCGTTATTATGGCCAAATTTGTATTTTCACCCACCGATTATATTAGCAAAAGTGAGTGTGAATAAAATATTATTTGACGGTTTACATCCACAATACTAAGATATGGTAATTAAAGAAAAAATAAGGAGAGAAATGTTTCTTGATGTTGGATGCATTGGTGAATAAATCTGGGCTTTGCCTTCAAATGGAACCTAACCTATAGGAAGCAATTTGCTCAATAAACTTAACGTTAAGCTACAATTTGTGAGCTCATAATATTATAATAACACAGCACAGGAGGTGTCTATTTTATTATTTCATTCAACTTTTGTTGTACATTTTAATTTTTGAAAACATTTCAATAAGGCATCGATCATGGGAACAATTTTAAAAATGTTTTAAATTATTTAATTAAATGATTGTAAATTTTAATTAACATATTGTAGGCTGTTAAATTCTTAAGGTTTTAAATGACGAATACAAAAATGTAATAACGGTCTGTAAAACTTTAATCCATAATATTGTTAGCAATGTGTGTCTTTAACCCTAAACGACAGCTGATGTTCTAATTTAATGATATCGAACATGTCATCAATGAATACCTCGCATAGTAACCAACCTTAAATATTTAGAACATTTCAAAGAAATCGGTTTTTGATTACTGGAAATTGTCTTCAGGTAGTCTCCAGCCGCCAGTAGTTCGTTTGGCGTCGATATTAGTATGTTCTTTCATTATATTGCATAAGTACCACAACCTAGAGATAGGTGTCAACAATATTGTTATAAATAGTTATAGTTTTAAATCTTGCTAATTATTTTTTTTTTGTGTACTTGCCCCTCTTACATGATTCATAGTAATTGGTTTTACAATCATAGCTTCAGGTATATATTGCTCCTTATAAAGTTTATACTCGGGAATAATATAAATAACAATATTTTACTATACAAGTAGTAAATAGTAAATAGTATTTATTTTAGTAGTAGTACGTTTCGGGCTACTTGGTTTGTTGGCGCTTAGTAAATTTATATTTTTATTATTAGATAAGAACTCTTATCATTTTATAAATAAATTGGTTCACAAAAAACAATATACATTTTTTAATTAACGTTTTTATACAACTATTTTAGGTTTCAATTAGACTGATCACTGATTAAATATTAATTTTATACTAAACGTACTACGGACTACTACCTATACATCTGTAGTCTGTAATTATCGAAATATTTAATACTTAAGTCTAGAAATATTATTATTATTATAGTGTTTACTAATAAACGATACATTAATTAAAATGTATTGGCTATTTTTAACTCTCTGTGGCGATAAACGAAACTCTAAACAATGTGTTTTTTTTTACTTTACACACTATTGAAGATAAAATAAAAAAAACTCGGTGGCTCCTGTAGTTAAAATGATTGAACTTTCTTAAAGAGGTTATCGGTAGTGTAAAGTATATTTGAGCTTGCATTAAAACGCTATTGTAATTTTTTATATTTTTTTTTATATACTTATGTTTTAATACGCTCGTGTAATAAATATTTAAAATTAAATAATACAAAGGATATGTTGTTATTATACTTTAAAATTAGAAAATTTACAAATTAATTAAGGCAATTGAGTCTCTACGTTGGCTTATTACTATTTAGGTGATCTACTTTTTATATAAACGTTTTCATTAGTGTTTTTAAACATTACATATATATTATACACACACACAAACTACAAAATATACTTTTCATTATTTTGTCTTTAACATCAAAAATAAAACGTATAATATATTTTGAATATATGTATTGCTAGGATATTCCTTCTGCGAGTGTCCATGCCATCAGCATATTATAATCGTTAAATATTTATTAAGTTATCACTTATCATTAACATTTCAATAGGGACTCGATAAATTATACCGAGATAATATTTCAAAAAACTAGAGCCAATAATAATATTATTTTAAAGCCCAAATGTTAGTAAAAATTGTTGTAAATTCTTGTTGCCGAAGAATTTATGTCTATGCTTATTTGCAATTCAAGTATTACTGATACTCAAAATAAAAAAATAGTTTTAAATGTTACATTAGTATATTAAATGATAATTATTATAATGTTACTAATGAGATATAGGTAACATTTCTGTGTTGTTAACTATGATTTCAGAAATGGCGATTTAATTTTTGTTAGGTCCATAAGTCATAACTCATAACCGATAACAGGTATATTATAGACTTAACGATTTGATATTATTTATATTAAGTACAACATAGCCAGTGATCTGTCTGGAACAATGCACCGTTCCATAATTACGTTTGTATGGATTATTTCAATGACTTGACCCCACGTGTATTGTAACCTTGTTTTTATCATTGATTATTTGTTTTACACAACTTCAAATTAAAAACCCCAGGAACTTGTTGACCATACCAAACAATATTGGTTTTAAATAGATACTTAGTACTAGTGCTAAAACTAAAAAAGTTTCAAATAAAATCTCATATGGACAAGGGTTGAAATGCTGGCGAATGTTGTGCACGGATAAAAGTAACCTTCAACAATTACCCTTTAAAACAATATTTGAACCTGAACATTTTACAATATTTTTGATAATTTTAAATAATAAATGATTTTATTTGAGGTTTTTATAGATGGAATATATAGCATCATATATATAGCATCGGAAAAATTGGTGTAACAAAATTTATTATAATAATGCTATTTTGGAGGTTAGGTACTAGAGGTGGGTCGCCACACTATGTTATATATCTTTGTAAAAATTGCATGTTCGTAACGAAAACCTCGCAACATAATATTCCCCTTCGATCAAAAACCATTACTTTTGAGTAGGTAGTAGGAATGCGGTAAAATATAGTGTTATCAGATTATCAAACTAATATGAATGCACAAATAATGTATTTAATGCTTATCTTTCAGCGATTTATTTATAGTCGTCTATCAGAGCAGTAAAAATTATAAATGACATCGACCCGACTGATATCTTAGGTATATCGTTATGGTTTTACTATATATATAGGCATTTATGTTACCACAGGGGCAGGATGTCCGCTCTTTTACTCGCAGGTAGATAATGAGACCTCATTCAACCACCTGTTCAACTCCGTTAATATGTCTTCCAGATATATTTTAACCAAAAAATTATTTCCCACGAATATTTTCTCCCTGTTCTATAGGTATTTCTATACACAACAATTAGTAGCTACATTTAAGATATTAAAATTTGATTTTTGGTTATAAAGTGTATTTATTTTGTTAAGTAGGGTTAACCTGAACGTATTTAATATGTTTTAGCCATATTGTTGTAATTTGGTAAGAGTAATTTACCGACGATTATATTTGTACTAGTATGAAAAATGGGTGAATGTTTTTGCTCTAATATTTATAAATATCTACAATACATACATAGAGTATGTACAAGTTGTTATCTTCATTACTATATTATATTTTGATTTTTTTTTTTTATTATTATAGAAGCACACAAACAGCAGCGGAGAACTTCTGTGTGACATTCAATGTAAAAAAAATCAGGTGAGTGATATTATGTATTTTTTTTTTTTTTTAGAAAAAAAACAAGTAAATCTTCAACGTTTTTTATATAACCTATAATTATTAAAAATTTAATTTTTTTTTGTATGATTCCATTGCAACCCCACCGGTTAAATGTTGTTATGAACACGTTAAAAAAATATTACACTTGTTCCTTTTTACGCACGCGTCCAACCTGTGTATATCCGGTGTATTCACGGTGTATGACTATTTACATCCGGAGAGGGTTACGGTTAGGTATTTCATGCAAGGTGGCATCTAAAAAAAAAAAAAAAACATAAAACGATTTTGGGGCGACAGTGGTAATGTACTAGGTTAGGTAGACCTACAATTACAATGCAATTGTATCTGAAACCGTAGGGTTTCAATTCTATTCAAGCCGTTTTAATGGTGTACATTTTAAGGGATGTTTGCAGGTTACCGAATTACTGTATTGTGTAATTCATTCTTTAACGCGGATCTGTTTCCGTTTTCATTGAAAAAAAGGCTTCTCGGGTTGTGATTGTTTTTAATTTTACCTGTTTGTTTACCGGCGGGTACTAACCGTACACAGACCTGAGATTTGAATTCGGTTGCTAATTATTTTGATGGAAATCACTTCCAGAGTTATGAATGAGGGCTAAGGAATTTGTTAGAAAAACACAACCGTCAGGTGGTGATTTGTGGGAAGTGAAGGGCGCGCCTGCGGAAGTTCACTCGACCGCTCACGGCCCATTGAACAATAGGATGAAGTAGACTATATGTTAATGCGCGTTTACTCTTTTTTTTTTTGTATTCGTATTTGTTCAACAAGTAAAAATTAAAATTATTTAAAATAAAAACCGCTCGACAACAAATAACGTCGTTCGTTGGACAGCAAGTCCTGAAATAGTATATTAATTATAAATTGCATAAGTTGTACAATCATATACAGAGTGATATATTTTTTATCGTAGGTCACTCAATATCTTACTGGATTTAATTAATAATTTAATTTTTTTGTTCCTAACGTCCACCCCAATTGGTTTTTTTTTTGTTTGAAACTTTTGAAACCTAAATAGTAGCGTACATATTTTATTTATTATTTAACTTAAGAATATTTTACTAAACATGTTGAATGGTTGATAACCAGTTTTGAACCACTATTTTTAAAGTTATGAGAGTTTAAAAGTTAGGACGTGAAGGGAAGTGCGCGCAGGGCGCAGATAAAAAATAATACTACACTCAACCTATCCTCATGTCCTAAACTTGAAACTTCAATAACTTCAAAAATAGTTATCCAAAACTGGTTATCGACCAGTCAAAATGTTAAGAACAGTATACTTAATTAAAAAAGTTAAGCAAGTTGATGTGAAAATAATTAGTTTGGGAGGGGGAAGGACATAAAAAATTGAGATCATATTATATGTATGGTATCATAACATATATATTATATATGAAAAAAAAATTAAATTAAATTCAGTGAGATATTGAGTGGCCGATGATAAAAAAAAAACACCCTGTATGAAAATAATTAAAGACTAAAGTTACCATTGATCGCTGGGCCATAACAGGTTGCAGGATGACCATTTCTGTTAAGTCACAGTGTACAATTCCAAAACATTATTGTTCTATATCCGCTTTATTTCGTGCTAAGCCGTGACGCTAATTGCTAGATAATAATTTAGATGCGGCGACTGACCAATTTAAAATGTTATTATAGAGCAGGGGAGGCGTTGAAATAAAGAGAAGAAAATAAACTAGGAAAAAAAAATGAATAACTGTAAACATATGGATTATGTATATTTATTTAAAAAAATTATAAAACTAATGGTACGTAATGTTTTAAAAATAAGGGAAATGGTGTGTGTTACATAATTAAAAATGAAGATTAATCTAATGGTAATTTGTAAATACTGCTAGTAAAACCTAGATATCTGATAAACAACAATGTTAAATAATTTTATTTCAAATGACATTTTAATTATTTTTATAAACTAATTTTTGTATGATAATTCTTATGTCTTTGTTAAAGTTAAAAATATGTTTTATTTAAAACAAAAGAATCAAAATGCATTATTTATACTTAAATAAATTTTGTTGACACTCGCGTTTTAATTTGCCTTAATGGTTTTTGTTAATTGTACATACTGTGGTGTAGAACCTAGAATGTACTGTTTAAAAAAAAAAAAACATTTTTTCCATCGAATTATTGTTATGCATAATTAGTTTGCAGTGCTAAATAATTGAATCAAGTGGCCAAAGTACTTGCAGATCTCGTCTCGTGCAAAAATATTTATTGAACGTTTCCTGTCCTACTCCAGACAATAGAAGTTAATTACACGAACCTTAGGACTAAACAATTTTGTTATGTCACCTATATGTTTTCATACGTATAATATTATCGTGTGGATTAGCAATTGTTTCAAAATAAAATTAACAGATTTAGTAATTTTTAGCTTTGACACGAAGATATTTGATTTACATTGATGATTTTTTTTTGTTTTCTGCATCTGGACCCAAGCTTAACTAAAATAAGTACTCGACTTATTCCTTTATATAAATATAATATATATTATAGACGTGAAACCGTTTCTCGGAAAGTACATTACAAGTCTAATAAATAATTGATCGGGTTAAGCGATTTTTTTAGCTTCCTGAATTTGTAATAGTTATTTCATCCTGTGGCCTAGAAAACAAAATAAAATGTATTTAAAAACCCGATTACTACTTAAGACATGTTTTTGAGCAATAAACTCACCGGCACCTAGTGTTGTCATATAAAATATATTAAAATGATCTCCCAGGTTAGAAGATAAATTGGCATAATTAAAGATGTGATATATTATATATATATATATAATGTTAAGGGTCCAACCAGTAACATTATTTCAACTATAATTCATTGAAAGGCCAACAGGCATTAGCAAACAAATTAGACAATTTATAAAATCTACAATTATAATGGACAATTACTATTTTTGTAGCAATTTTTTCAATTAAATTTGTTAAACATGTTTTGTTATTCAGTAATAATAGTTAATGCAATCATAACGTATTCGTTATTTTTATCTTTTTTAATATGTCTCTCGGTTATTACTTATTTTTGTTTGTTTTTTCACGTTCTATGTATTCTACGAACGGAAAACCAATATAGTACAATAATTTATTTGGTTGTATACCACTTTTTTAAGTTTCTACAAGTGTACAAAAGACAGGCCAAGTTTTAATTTTATTTGTTTGCTAATAACACGTTATTTCAACGAAATAACATTTGTTTTTAGTTTTTTTTTTTAACAAGTCCTAAATTCTTACTCTTTGTCAATCAAATGACTGGTCAATACAAATTTGACGATATTAAAAACTTACAGTTGACAATTTAGCTTAATGCGCGTTTCGTTTTAATAATCATAACTTAAAAGTGGAATATATTGTTTGATATATTATGCATGCTTGTTGGACCAATAAATGTGTTTATATAGTGTAATAAACAAGTGTGATGTATACGTATAATAATTATTTCAGTTAAACAAAGCCAAATTGATATGGAGGGACTCTCGACCCGCATTGTGGATTGCCTAATAAGTAACCCTGACTATTATTTTATCGAATTAAATACATTGTTAGGGTTCCGGATGCTTTACCGTGTGAAGTAGAGCTGATCTGGTCAACGTCGTTTAATTTAAAACAAATTTATAAATATATTCATTGGTTTTTTTTTTATGTTGAATTGACTGTCACGACTTTGGAATAATATATTTTGCTAAGTATTTGAGTAAAAGTATTTCTCATTTTAAATATCTACGTTAATTTTGTATCAAGTACAAATTATGTTAAGTACTTAAAAAAAAATGTATCCATATTTTATCTTCATATTACATTTTATTAATAAAATATCAAGAATAATTGACGTAGTACTTTTTTTTGTTCATAGTAGATTTGTCAAAGGACATTTGAATTGTTGAAATCTTAACAAGTTAGGAAATAAATGATGAACAAATTTTAATTAAACAAAAACATATATATTTATATATATTTTCCTGTAATTTGTAACTGGAACTTTGAATATTTTCCATCTTTTGTTACTGAATTTTAAATATATTGTTGCATAATTATTTGTATTATGTGTTAATCCATTCAATGAAGTATATTATTTATTGGGTATGAGTACCTTAAAATGTGTGTAAAATATATTAAACTGTTTGTTTAATTTTAAGCGTGTATTTGTTACTGAGAAAATGTAATTTCTAAAAGTATATAAATCGTTGAAAATCAAAAACAAAATCACGTTATTATTGTGATAGAGCTTTTACAATCTCATTAATGATCCAGGTCCTATTTTTGTGTGCAGTATAATCACTATTTAGTAATGACTCAAACTGATTATCGACCAGTCAAATTTTTCAGAATTTTAAAAACTAATTAAATTTATAAGTTACCCCCTTCCAATTTTAAATTGGTATCTGTCTGAAAAGAAAACTTAAAATTAGGAGGACGTCATACCAAACAATCATAAAAACGTGTAAATGGAAAAAATGTAGGCCAAAAGAAATGAACTCAAAAGTTAAGATTTTGCAAAAAAATTGCCTATACCTAACTCCTGAATAAATGGGGGACGACGTCCTCTCTTTATTATTGTTTCATAAAAACCAAAAAGGTTTTACTTAAGTCGATTTTTCATAATTTTAGTAATCATCAAAAAATCAAGTAGACCATGAAATGCTGAATACGATGTATACTATACATTTATATAAATATATATAGTTTTTATTGTACATATTATTAAAGATCCTTTGACGCAGCTCTGTTAAATAATAATAAAAAATTAAAGTTGGTCTATTAAATATTTTGAAATCACATTTATTTAACCACCTGTATTCTCTTATTAGAAATCTTTGTTCATTCCTAGGGCTTTTGATTTTCAACCATAGTCATCCCTAATTGAAAAACCTAAGTTTCTTATAGTAATGTCTTAAAATAATGGTTCCCCAATCAACATAATTTTTTAATTATTCTTATTTTAATTATAGTGTTCTAAAGGATGTTCATTATGGAACAGAGCACTGAAAAGTAATTGTACAAACGTTTGCGTAAGTTAACAGTACATTAAAAAAAACTGATTAAAAACATTAATTTTTGTTATTATTTAATTACAGGTTGAATCTGAAATAAAGTACAATATGACTTTGAGTGAACTTCATTGTACAGCTGGTTGTAACGATGCTGTAAGCCTTCATTTCCAAAACATTATTACAGATGATATTTTACCACCTCCGTCGTTAGTCCCTGACAGTCTTACAAATACATCACTAAAACTGCAATGGAAAGGTGTTAAAAGGGATGATTTCTCATACAGTGTCCAATGGAAACTTGAAAATAATTCAGGTACTTGGCAGTATTGTCAAAAACAGGAGTGGATTAACAATTCTGCAATTATTAAGTTGACTGAGCTACAACCTTATACAAACTATCGGGTAATAATTTATCTTATTTTGAAATGTTTGTTCTGTTCTAATTTTAAAATACTAACTGTATTAATTGTTATTTTACCAGTTTCGTGTAGTATTATTGTTATCATGGTCCGGCTCACTGCGGCTAGTCGTTTCTGATCCAAGTGTGGTGATAAGTACATATCCTAGTAAAGTTCCGCCATCTACAGCTCCAAAAATTGTGAGGGCAACACCCGCAGATTTTAGTATTTCCGTTACATGGGCAGCTATACCTTTTCCATTAGCTCCTATACTATCCTATCATTTAACCATCCAAGAACTTACAAAAGGGTACTTTGCAATTAAGGTCAGAATTCATATCATTTTAAGATGCTTTTGTTTGTTAACATCACTTTTTAATTGCATGGTATTTTTGCACTCTATATTAACCTAAAATGATTAATTAAAACATAAAACATTTTCTGATATTTATATTTTAAACCTTTATAGCCGAGGTATTCGAACTGTGCTTTGTGTGCGGCTCCAGGGGCGTCGTGTGAGTTTGTTAAGGGAGCCATGGAGGTTATGGACTTACGTATACTGTAGTGGGCAATTAATAATTTGGGAGCCGTTAAAATATTGTAAAGACACAAAGGAGCCGCGTGATGAAAAAGTTTGAATACCACTGGTTTATAGAATTTAATAATATTATAGACATTTTTTAAATACTAATGTTTGTAGTTTTTTTCAAAGCTCCTTATTTAAAAAAAAAAATATATATATATATAATTAAAAGATAACTAAAATGGTATCCCTAAGAGACAAGCTCAAAATTTGAATTTATTTGTACAGACAATTTTCTAGTTATTTGATTTTTTAGTAAATTTTTTTTTATAATTCTTGGGTACATCATCATTTATTATTTATTAACATTTTCTTCCTTATTACCTAATATTCTTGCTTTTTTTTTTTTTAAATTGACTTTTTAAATTCTAAAATGTTTTTTGTTGGACCTTTTTGTTGTATTATTCAGGAATTCTTAACAGAGACAGAGAATGGAAATGAGAACTTTTATATGTTTCGAAATTTGGAACCAGGCAAAAACTACTCTATATCGCTTGCTGCTAGAAATCAATATGGAGTTGGTCCAAACACAACAACATATGTCATAACGACTTCTTCATCGATAAGTAATTCCACACACTTTTTAATTTTATAGTTACATAATATTAAACTCTCCGGCTATGGACTGACGACCCGTCGATACTATCATTTCATGAAGGCAACGTTTGGGCCCTCGAGGCTCGTTAAGCTTACATAATGATAATATTTAATTATATTTACCTGCAAAAACTGTTAAAAAATAATCTTTTTTTTTTTCACAGTTAAATACACACCCGAACCGGTTTATCTATTTCTTGTATCAAATCATGATGTATTTTATCAGACCAAAGAACTAATTGATACACCCAAAAGTTTATATCATACTGATCAAACTATAAATTGTACGTCTGAACTTATTATTAAAGGCTCATACTTGCATAAATTAAAACCATATTTCTGTTTAGGTGTTTCCTTAAATACGCACACAAAGGTTATGTACATTGCAGACTCTTCAGGTAGATTATTATCCGTGTCAAATGATAAAAAAGTAGAAGTTTTGTTACCACATGGAAATGATATAATACTTGAAATGAGTTTTGATTGGCTCAACAACCAAATGTTTATTTTAATGTCGACATTAACAAACAACGTCACTACATATAATATATACAAATTTGATATTCAACAGAAGAATTTAATAAATGTAGCTTTAGGGTTTGACAAAAGACCAATCCAAATGAAGGTTGATCCATGTAATGGGTGAATACTTGCACAACATTATATAATATTATGTATTTATTTTAATTAAAAATTGTTGTATGAACTAAAATATAATTTTGATGTTTATAGGTACTTATTTTGGACAATGAACAATGGCCTTTATCGTTTGGATTTAAGTAAAGAAGTTAGCAATTTAAGAAAAGAACTAATTCATATGTTGATATTGCCGAATAATGATATTGGACCATTTGTAATAGACTACACAAACTTTTCCTTACTAGTTTTATTCAGGAAAAATAACACCATCATGTCTGTATCGTTAGACGGGTAAGTTTATTATTATGTTCTGAAAACTCATAATTTCTGTATTCAAATAGTAATTTTTTTTATTTAGTAAAGAAGTTCTAAATGTTAGAAAGAATACTGCGAGATCTGTGTTTAGTAAAGCAACTACGCTAGTATACGCCAATGGTTTATTTTACTGGTCAAATGGTCCAAAGTTAATGGGAGAAGAATACCATGAAGCGTCATTACAATATTATCAACATGTTTACCCCAGTTTTAGTGCTGACTTCCATTTAGTTCTATCAAATTTTACTGACCAACAACCAGTGCCTATTCCTACAAACCCTCCAAGATCTTTACAAGCAATTGCAACCTCTACTAAATTAAAAGCTATGTGGCAAGCTCCAGACTTGTTAGCTGGTCAAGGTAAAAAATTGTATAAAACCGTTTAAATGAGAAAAGGAATTTCTTAATAAAACTATATGTTTGTGTTTTAGGATATAGTTCCTGGCAAGGTTGGTCTTATTGGCTTTCTATATCACACGAAAATAAAACTAGTTGGAAAACCGTTGATGTCAATAAAACAGAAGTTACAATTGACCTATTGAAACCTGGTACAAACTATGTGCTCAAAGTTGCTGCACACTCCTCCAGTGGTCAAGGGCCTTGGTCATCAGAGTTTGTCGTTAAAACTTTGAGTCATAACGTATCAGTGTTGTGGGGAAATTCCGAAAGAATTTTAATATCTGATATAATGGGCAATTATATCGATTCCATTTTCTTAGATGAAGACAAAGTAGTTGTTTGATTTATATTTATAAAATAAGAAATTTCAATTATAATTTATATTTTATTTTATTTTTAGACCGAAAAATATTCTTCATTAAATGATATTGCCTGGTATGAGGACAGAGTTTACTACGTCGTTAGTTCTAGTAAAATAAATTGGTTAAATTTAACAAGTCGACAATGGGGTACCGTCGAAGGCATTAATAGTGTTCAAAACATAGCAATCGATTGGTTAGGACGTAAAATTTATTGGTCGGATCCTTTAAAAAAGTCTGTAAGTGTAAAGTGTGTTCAACAAAAAAGGTTTAAAAATATAACCCTGTGCAACCTATATATTTAAAAATAAAATAATATACTATTTCTTTGTTTTTTTAGATATCACGAGAAAATTTATGCGGAGGACAGAAGGAGGAGTTGCTTATATTGTCTAATGATTTTGTTAAAGAACTAAAAGTGGAATCCGTTGGAGGTTATTTATATTGGTCTACTGAGTATACAGTTCAATCGTCTAAACTCAATGGAAAAGGACATCATTATTATACAGTGAATCACTTCAATGGCAAAAGTATGTACGGAGTCCATACTACAATTTTTAAACTTAAAAAGTCATATTTTAACGTTGACATTTTATATTTGTATTATGCACAGCATTAAATGGTGTTTAAATTTGTCATTTGCTTACTTTAAACTTATTTACTTTCAGTCATGGGTTTAGCAGTAGATTCAGTAGATCATTGGGTGTACTGGATACTTAGAGAGCAACAGACGTCAAAACTTTATCGCGCGCCTACCGCCGAAAAGCTCAGTTACTCGGACCTACATCCTGTAAAAGAATTTGAAAATTTGGATGCCCAAGGTATGATAGGATTAGTAAACTATGCATATTAGATGTAGATATCAAACTATTTTGTGTTTTATATCCAGGACCTTTATTCTATGTAGACAGTCATTTGATGTGGCTTCATAGTGGTAATGACATTGTGATGAGTGATACAGATGGTCAATATCCGGCTATCATAAGAGCTATGAATTTAAACGGCTTACAGACATTTTGTGTGCTTGATCCATATGCTCATCCAAAACCCAAAGGCAATTGTTTTTTTTTTTTTTTTTAACAAAAACTGCATTGAATATTAAAATTAATTAATAATTAAGTAACTTTTTTTTTAGGTTTAAAAACTAATGTAATACCCGAAGAAGTGGATATCAAAAAGATAAAAGTGTATCCTAAGAAAAAATATAATAGTACCGTTTATGGAATTGATTGGAACCCTGTGACTAATGTTAATCACGGATCAGTTTTTTATAATGTAATAGTTTGGGAAAAGGACGATAACTCAAATTTTACCAATGTTTGTAGTATTGATAACATTTTACTTAATCTCAAACTATTTCATTGTAATGACATGGGCAACATAATTTTTGCTTTGTTTTAGTTTATTACAAATGATACTCAAGTACTTGTGCATAATATGCCATTACAAATTAGTATTGAAGCATCTACTGTTTGGGGTTCTTCTCAAGTAGTTACTGTATTTTTTCCTATTCCTTCTGAACCTACCGATATTAGACTGTTCATAAATGTGAGTGACAGCTACCAAACGAGAGATGTTGTTCTTCAGTATTCCAGTTTGCAAAATGTTAGTTACTATGAAGTTTTCTGTCAATATTGCAATGGATACAGACAGGAGACGTGCCAAAACAAAACAGTTCATGCTACTACTACCCGAACAACGTGGACCAATCTTTCTGCCGACACAGACTATGAATTTAAAGTAATTTTTTTTTTTTTGTTCTATGTGGCGGTTAAGTGAAAAATAGTTGACTACTAATGATTAGTTTCTCAATTGCTAAATGCTATAATATCGTAAATTATGGCGAGTTTGAAAAATAAATTATATGAAAATTATTAATGAAATTTGTTTTAAAGTTATTCAAAAATTTGTTTGTAATATTTATGGTTACATCAAATTACTTTTTATTTGATCACTTTAAAACGTATAATGAATATTTTCAAACCGGTTACTGATTAACTAAAGTTCGAGCAAATACTAAAATGTTGTTTTTCTTTATATAATAGGTAAAGGCTTGTTCGACAGCTGGCTGTAGTGATTGGAGCCAAACTATAATATTAAATCGGATTCCAGTAGATGTTAAATATTTCAATATCGCCATGGTGTCTGGTTCCAGAATTTTCATTTTTCATTCAAACAAACAAAATAATCAAACGGTTATATTAACTGACAGTATGGTAAAATGTTTTACGTTAAGTCCCCTAGATGACATTGCTTACTGGAGTGAAGGTGATGGTATATATAGTTCACCCATTAATATGTCCATCAGGAATAAGGTGTGTAGCTGTTTTTTTTTTGCTACTAATTAATATTTAATATTTATTTATTATTATCTATAAAATCAAAACTCACAACTAGGTTGCTGTATTAATGTCTCTTAGACGTTTTTAATTTTATGTTATTGCATACGCTATATTTAAAAAGTCATTAATTTTTATTTTAAAGAGGTTTTCCTATTTTCGAAGGAATCTAAGGAAATCAATGACCTACTATAAGTTAAATTTGTTTGCAAAATTTTAATTGCTCGACACAAGATATATTTTTTTTTTTAGTTGTTAATTTATTGAGTATATTCTTAAAATTATTATTAATTATAAGCCAAAGTATACACACACATATAATGCTTACAAAACATACTTTAACGTGAAACATTTTATTTTTTAGCTTTATACTAAATCAACAAACTATACTTATATTGAAAATCTATCAGTCGATTGGTCATCAAATACTCTTTTTTGGTATGAAACATCTAAAAATCAGTCTACAATTATGAGTTTAGATTTAAAAAATAATATTCCAAAAGAAGTAATAAGAAGATCATATAGAATTCTAAAGTTTTTAGTAGTTCCATCTGAATGGTAATGTATAATCAACTCTTAAAGAGATGATTAAATAATACAATTTTAAAAATAATTTACAGGATGTTAATTTGGGTTGAGGAAACAGAACGTCCAGGTGAAAAAATAATTATGAAAAGCAATATGGATGGTAATGAAGTGCAGGAATTTTTCTGTTCTACAAAATTATTTAACAATAACTACTGTAATTGTTCGAACTTGGATCCATTTGACGATGTACTAACGTTGGACTTTTCCAATAATGGTAGTTTTAAACTTTTATGGGTCAGTGGAGAGCAAAAAAACATAATTACGTCTGATATGAATGGATGTTTATGTTCAATCCTAAAATCTATTTATTCGACACAAAGCGTTACGTCATTAGCGGTCGACAAACATTATATTTACTGGACTACAAACAACACGACTTGCCTACTAAATATTCAAGAAGAACGCGATCAGCTTACTATTGAAAATCACAACATCAGAAGTTTTTTAAATAACATAACTGCTGTGTTCACAATTGGCGAAGTGCCTGAATCATGTAAGAACAATAAAATATAATATTGTATAATTTAGTGTAATTTCTTAAAGTTGATGTTTTTTATTGTTTTAGTTAAACGACCCGATGCGCCTGGACTTCCAAAAGTTGTTTGTTCACAATCGAGTATTTGTACAGTAGAATGGGATAAATCGGAATCGACAGTTAAGATGTTTTACTACTTGGATCGGAAAATAGTAAACGATACAAGAGATAAAAGAATTTTAGACCATAATTGGGTGCCAGTTTATAACGGAACTAGTAATGACAAACTTGAGTGGTGAATTAAACTCGTATACTAGTGTTACATTTTGTAATACATTTTTCAGGTAACAATTGGCGTATGTTTGATGTCAACCCATCTTTATCGTTCATATTTCGGGTTAGAGCCAAGAATTACTTTGGTTGGAGTGACTACACCATTTTGAAGATCCCAGTTGAATCCAAGTATAAAATTGAAACTACAAATATTCACTGGATTGTATTAATATCTGGGTTGCTGCTTTTTGTGTGTATTTTCTCGGCAATGATTACGAGTTACTGTATGTATACGTGTATACGTTTTATTGCTGTTGGGTGTTTTAATTAATTGTATAGTTTTAAATTTAACAGGTTGGGTTCCATGTAAAACTATAGGACCGTTGAAACCGGACGTGGAGTTGGGTAGACTCAGAGACTATGCAATTAACGTTGGTTATCAAGGCGCTGTTTTATTCCAAAAGAAAGAAAAAGGCGAAATGCCCGTTATTAAGCGTGAACAGATCTCTCTTCAGAAGCGGCTGGGGTCTGGAGCTTTTGGAGAAGTGTTCGAAGGCAAAATAAAAAACTTAATCAACGGAGAGCCTGAAACTAGAGTGGCCGTTAAAGCGTTAAAAGAAGGGGCTACTCAAAGCGAAATGGCCGCATTTATGAAAGAAGCAAAGCTAATGAACAACTTCAAGCACAAGCATATAGTACAACTTATTGGCGTATGCTTAGACAATGATCCTAATTTCATCTTAATGGAACTGATGGAAGGAAGAGATTTATTAAGTTTTTTGAGAAGAAATAGACCTACGAATGTAAGACGAATCGTTTTCAAATGATACTAGTTTTTAAATTCATTTATATAATTGTTACAAATATTCAACCCAACGATCTTTGTTTTTAGGTTACAAAGTCGTGTATAAATCTAATAGATTTGTTAAGTATGTGCATTGATGTAGCCGAAGGATGTTCATATTTAGAACAAATGCATTTTGTTCATCGAGATTTGGCGTGTAGAAACTGTTTAGTAACGTCATCTGATCCTAAAAATCTCGTTGTTAAAATCGGAGATTTCGGCTTAGCACGTAATATATATACACACGATTATTATCGAAGAGCAGGAGAGTCTTTACTGCCTGTCAAGTAAGTAATGTACTTCGATTGATCTTAAATTTAGAGAATCGAATAACCCATTTATTACTATTATAGTCTTATTATTATTATTATTATTTTTATTTGAAGTTATCTTTTATCAAATGTGATTGAACTGCCTTTCTGTTCATTCCTTTTATTTAATTATTGGTTTGAGTGTTTTTTTTTTTTTTTTTTTTAATTTAAATTTTTTCGCCTGTTACTGACATGAATTAAACTCTGCTATCTAAAATTAAATTTAACATTATTCCATCATTTCTAGATGGATGTCTCCTGAAGCAGTAATGGATTGTGTTTTTACAAGTCAATCAGACGTTTGGGCCTTTGGTGTTTTGTTATGGGAGATAATGACCATGGGCCAACATCCTTATCCAGGGTTGTCAAACTTTAAAGTCATATGTTACGTTCAACAAGGTGGGCGACTAGAGAAACCAGTCAACTGTCCACGAACACTGTGAGTGCACGAGTAACTTTGGATTGTCATTTTTCTATATTTTATTTAAAATTGTTGACGTTTATAAACTTATGGGATATAATGAATGTATTTACTAATAGGTATAATTTGATGCAACGATGTTGGAATGTCGATCCAAACAAACGTCCTAGGTTTGATTTCTGCCTGAAAGTCTTGAAGTCGTGTATGGCTATGCCGTTGGATTATGTTAATATTTTCGAAGATCGTAAGTATATGCATGTATACATTTCTAAAACTGCTTTGTAATAATATTACCATATGATTTGTTCATTTTATTATAGCACAATTACAAAATTTGTCTGTCTCGGAGTCGTATGAACTTGACATCACATATTCAGACTCCTATCATAAGCCCTCTTATCCTATAAACAACGAGGGATATGAAGTGCCCGATACCATAACTAACAACGAATATCTAGATTTGGGCGGCATAGAGTATCTAGATTTATCAAAAACAACAGCGACCACCAACCTAAGAAATTCAGTACCCGATTTAAGATTGACCGAGAACGCAACTTTATTGTACTGCAATATGAGCACAGAACAATCATGAACACGAATCATTAACGCTAATTTTTTTGTAACTCGACTTGCAAGTTACACAATTAATTGGTTAATGAATAAAATACAAATAAAAAGTGATATTTATTTAAGTAATATTAGTGAATAGTTAAGAGTGGATGTTTTACTCTTGTTTCCCAGCTTTAAACCATATTTATGTTGTAAATATTTGTTGAACTATTTATTTTCTACCCATAAGATTTTTGTACCATTAATTTGTTAATATATTGTTGAGTTATTTATTAAGATTATACCTAGTCTGTTGTATAATAATATGTTATATTGCTTATTACCCGTTTATGCTAATAAACTGAATTGAAACTTTTTACTTTTGACCACCCTGAATATACCTGTAATCCCGTTTTTAATATATCTACTACTCGGTGGTATATTTAAAATGTACACAATTTACATTTAACACTGTCTAAACTCGAACTACTGCAATGTCAATTTAATGCAAGACACTTATTTAGTTTCGGAATCTTGTTTATTCTGTCCAAATGGTAATTATTGCAGGCTTTATTTTTGTACCGGAGGCATGTTTCACACAAATTGTGTTTTGTACACAAAACTTCCACCGGCTTGTTCATCCGACGGATTACAAATTTCTTCCCACAAGCCAGAAATAAGGCAACTATTAAACAAATTCAAGTATATTTTTTATTACAGTTATAACGAACATACACATATTTAATTAATTAAAAAATGACAAATAGCGTAATAAATTATTTGGGAAAAAATGATTTACTGTGTAAAATATAAATCTGCATTTAAATATACATTTTATTTCTTGATACAATAGTAACCGGTCATTTTAAATCGTTTGCTAATTACAAATTAAATGAATTGTTATACATAGATGTCTTTTATTTGACGAAATTAAAAATGAATTTTAAAATATCATTTGAGTATACGTTTGAAAATAAATACAATTTTAATCGTTATTTTATTTTATAATAATGTTTTAATAATACATAATCAGTTATACATATATTTAATAATGCCTGCAAACAAAAATTTATGAGCCCTTTCCTGGAGTATTGTAAAATTAGTGGATAAATTTAAATTATTAGTATTTACTAAGTACATTAAGTAATTATTAAAATTGGTATACTTTTGTACTAGGGTCTGAGTATACAAATATGATCACCATTAGATATGTATAAGTATCTTTATGTAAATAGTTTATGATATATTATGCAGAATGATTAATGATAATTAGGTCCTGTTTATAATTATTTAACCTTTCACTGCATGTAAGTGCATACATGCATTAGGTTATTTATATTGATATAATTTATTGATTATGGTTAATATTTATTTTGTTACATCGCTATCTAAGACTAAAATATATTTTAAAGAGTAATTATGAGGTAAATGAGGTAACATAATAAATATACTAACTTTTATACAAATCGGTAGAAACTATTTAAAGAATGATGGTAGCCCTTTGTAAAAATACATACAGACACAGAAACACCGTTTCATTAGAAAACTATACACATTTAAAAATAATTAATTGATTACTTAATTTTATATTTTGCAACTTGAATTTGTTTCATTGTTGAAAAATCAGACAATATGCACACGTTTTTTTTTTTTTCAATATCGGTGAGAACTATTTAAAGAATGACTAATTAATTTTATTAGAAAACTATTTTTTTTCATATTCTTCTAAATAATATTATAGTGGCAATATTCAAAATGTTTAAATAATTAACAATATTTATTTTTTTTTTGCCAACTGAGTTTTAATGCTAAAACACGAGGTGACGTTTTTCTGAGTATCCGTAGACACTATTTAAAATAATATGATGATTGCTGATTGTAAAAACACATGCAGACACGGTTTGATGAGAAAATTATACACTCTCAACGATCGAACACAATTAAGCATATTTTTTCTTTATTTTTTAAGCCGTAACTTAATTATTAAAATTCAATAATAATAGTACCGCCATTATGTTGTGTCAATTATTAGGCGTACACGACTACTAAACTAAAATATAATTGTTTTAAACCAACATTAACCGATTTCTGCACTTTTCGTACTGAATTTATCTTATAAAATTGCTTTCGATTATCTAGTTAAAAAATAGTATTCTTTCAGGTTATTTATTAAGTCATAATATACTGATTTAATATTAGAACTTAAAGTCATTAACATAATATAAGGCTTTAAGCCATAAGGTTTAGGAAAGGGCGAATTTGTTTCCATCAAAGTTTAATAAGAAAAATCATAAAGTATACAAACAAATATTTTATTACATGTTATCTATTTATTAAATCTTTAGCAGATGTATAAATTCATTAAATAATCTATTGATCATAGAAAATCGTATATCTCTATTGAAATGTATGTATGTATAATGTATTATACAAATATCTATAATACAATATTCTTGTGCATAGTTAATTCTTTAATTTTATTTTGAGAAATATATTTGAATATATGAAACAAATTTACATTTTTTTAAAAACGTTTTTGGCTTGCCATAATAAATTTACAAATTATTGGTACCTATTCAAAAATGTTATACTTTTCAACCAATAATTAACCTCTTGAATTGATTGTAGAGTGTAGAGTTTATATCAGGTGTATCTGCGAACAATGGATGTTTACTTATATATTCAAGAAAATCGTCTTTGCCTGGAAAAATTTAAATATTATTCAACAAAAATGTCCACTACAATGTTGTACTTAAGTATTTACCGTCTGTTGAAAGAAAATCCTTGTGTATCTTTTCCATCTAGATATTTTAAGAAACATATTATATTATATGATTTAATACAAAAGTATCAAAACGATAAGATTTAATTTATACGCAAATTTACTCTATAGCCGACATACTTAAATATAAAACTATTTAAGTACCAAAATAATAAACAAAATATTAAAAATTACATTTTTTTTTTTTATCTAAGACGAATATGTTCAAATAATATGTTAAAAGATTATTGTTGATAATTTTATGAAATTAAATATAATATTAAAATTATAACTACCAACCCGTAGCGAAGCCTGCAACATTTTTAGTATTTTGCAGTACTCTGTCGATTCAATTGGTAAACTTTCTGTAAACAGTTTGTAGATAATTAAAAAACAAAACGTTCAATAAATAGTTAAGTTTTTACTACCGTTATGGCCAACAATTTTTAGTACTTCTAAAATTTCTTTCTCGCGTGGGAACAGTTAAATATTTGCTACGAAATCTTTACTCAAAATTTGGTAAGTTGGATTCAATTTTTCAATCTCATCTTCAGTTTGTCTCTAAAAAAAATACACAAAGCACATATTATATCAATTTATTAATGACTTTTTTTGGTTAGATTTAGATGCAAACAAAATATTATTTATAATGATTCATTAAGGATAATACACATTAATTTTGTAGTTTTTTCTTTTTGTGACATATTAGTTTTGTTATTTTACAAAATTAAAAACACTCAAATTTTTCTTCTTCTTGGTATTCTATCAATTGTCGAAACTTAAATGGTGACTTATATAATTAATTTAATTTTTTAATTGGGAATACTTTGCTGAAAATATTGTTTGGTCGATAATTAGTTTTGGATAGTTATACTTTCAGAGTTACAAAAGTTCTAATACTTCTTTATCCTCATCTTTCCTTTTCTTAACTTACTACATACAAATAGTAGGTACTTCAGATTTCTGAAGATGTCTATTCAACGTTAATATTAAAATTTACATTTTTCAAGTATTAAATCAAGTTTAAATGATGATTTGTTTAATATATAATTCGGTTGAAGTATGTATAAGGGTTTTTTTTTGGGAATATTTTAATGGTTTATGACTTTCAGTCACAACCAAAACAAATATCAAGGTCTAAAAGATAAATGTAAAAATGTCTGAAAACATCAAAACTGAGAAAATGCAAAAGAGCTAGGTGTCGGTGAATCAACCATTGAAAATTTTAGCTAATTACTCTCAACTTAAAATGTTAGCTAAATATTTACGTTACCATTAAAATGTAAAATAAATACAATTTTTTTACAAAAGAAAAAACTACAAAATTCAAAAAATGGACCACCCTGTATAGTAAAAATTAAAAACTCAATAAACCTGTGATAAAACATATATTATCGGTTTCATATTGTTCAACTGTTCCAATCGTATACAATCGCTTTCTGAAAATAATTATGACATTTGTAGAATGAATTTTTCGTAGAACATTGTTTTATTTTTAATATATTACTCTCTAAATTAATTAAATATATATATATATGACTGTGCTTTGCGAATGGTGAGGAATCCTCTGAACTTGACAAATACTAGTTTCTGTAATTCTGTTGCGGAGATTAAACCATTACAATCGTCGTTGTCGTACTCGTTAAATATCTCTATCCATTCCTCGTCTGTCAAGTGATCCAGATTTGGATTTATATTCTAGAATATTATGTACAATTAATTTTATTCGAATCGTTTTAATACGAACAAAGGGAATAAATCTAGTTGAAAAGTTAAAAGTTTTAAAATCTTTTTTTGTAGTGCTGATGTGTTTATTTTGTGCTTTTGTTACACCTACTTGGATGAAATATAAATAAAACATTAGAAAAAAATGAAAATTTGTACACATAACTTACAATCAGTGTGTTGCATTATTCGAATAAAACTTTATCTAAATAACACATTATTCATACAAAAGTTATTCTGATAATTTCAAATTCAATTAATCGAATACGAATTTGCACCACTCTTCTTACAATGTTATCCCCATACAATAATCTTCGTACAATCTCTATCGAAAATTTGTTACCATCTATATTTTATTGCAATAGGTGTTTATGTTGTTTTGGCCATGTTTACTATAAGCTTTTAAATATTTCTGATTTTTAGATACATACCTCCATAGAAGCTACATACACTGTATTGGACATATTATTATTTTCTTCATCTGCGGTAATACTTTTCTCTACAAGACCCAACACACACAAAAGTAGTATAATATTTTTTGAAAACATAATAATTCAAAATATGTACGTGAGACCTGCCGGGAAATGAAAATGTTCTCACTGCTATTCACAAACAGTCTTTTCGTTCTCAGTATGAAGTATAAACAGATATTTGACCGACACGTAGGTTTGAATTGAAAATATATGTATTTCGTTTAAAACTGAAATGGTTTATGTGTTTTCTGCTGTTTTTGTCGTTGTAGTTGTTTTCATTTGTACAAATGATTCGAATACGAAAATATTTCACTAAAAAAATACTGTTTACTGTTTGTTTTATAGGTCGATATAATACCAATAGTTGTTGTAACATTATGCAAATTGTTTTTTTTTTCAAGTTTCCACGACTTCTTTTTGCGCATCGATGAAAAAAACAAAATCGTTGTAAAAAATCCGTGGATAGTATGTTCAAACCAGTTATAGCGGTTTAGAAGATATCGTGGGACCATCCATAATATCTACTTAAAATGTCATATTTAGTCTTGTGCAGGATGGATACGATAAGAGTTGATCGTCTGACTATGAAAATGTACTGTCGAAGTTACCCATGTATCTTAATTAACAATATAATGAAAATATTTTCATAACCTGTTGACTGTTGATACACTCACACATAGCAACCTAGAAACTGACTACGGCCAATGTGTAAATTTACCCTATTTTTAGTATTTTTCCATAATAAAAACAAAATTTGACTACAGATTTTTGAGAAAATTGTATATGTTATAGTTCCATTTTAGATCTACCTTCGGTCTAATTTTAAGATCTAAATCTTTAAAACTTTGCTTGAAAAAGTGAAATAAAGAAAAAAATCTATCACTTCTAGGGGAAAGAGTTTATGATATTTTTTTTAGGATTGTTAACGTTTATCGATAGTACTATGTTTTAAGAACAATTCATATAAATTCGGAACTATTTCGATAATTTTTAAAAAAGTTATTGAGCATTTTTGTAGATCAAACTGCACCTTTTTGGAATACTACGGCCGATCTAATTTCAATGTTTTCGCTAAAAGTGACATTTAAAATAAAATTCCTTAGCTCGAGTTTCACTATTGTTTCAAAATGTTGATTAATTTATACAATGTGAATATATTACAATATTATTTAAAACCAGTAAATAGTACAACAAGTGTTGAGTAGGTATTTTCTTTTAAAGTTTTTAAAGGTTTAAAATGGTTGACGGGTGGAACGTTTGATCTATCCGCGTATTATAAACTGTAATTGTTAGTTATAATATTATTTTGAAATTGCGTGTATCGATTTATAAACCTAGGCTGAACCTTCAAACATAAATCATTTAATTAATCCTCAAACTGAGGGTTGTACCGACGGCACGACCTTGTCACCACTTTCTAGAATTTTACATTCACACCAAATCAAAAGATAACATGTCACATTCAAAGCGCTTCAACCATTTACGGTTATTATATTTTAATTTAATCCGAAGATCTATCTAGACAAATCCCTTTGAGATTATGCAAAATGTCGACATGGCCTATAACAATAGATGAATCATATACACATTGTATTTGAACGAAGCTACAGTAATAAAATCTGGTGAAAATATAGTAAACAAGTTTGAAAACTTGTACTAATGCAAAACAAGATATATTTAATTTTCCAGATAGTAGAAGTTTATTATGGATTCGTGAAATATATGGTTTTGGTTTAGTAATATTTTAGGTACACAATTTAATTTTTTTATATTTATATTTATTTAGAAGCTGTAATTATAGCTGTATATATCTGCAATTTGGATTGTTGTCATTTCTGGATATTTTCTGTCAAAAAAAACTTTATTAATACATAGCTTAAATAGAATTAATTTTTATAATGTTACCTATGTTAAAAAAAAAAACAATGTAAATTAATTATGTACTGTACTTTCGTTATTAAGACGCTGTCGAGGAATTCCCTCGGAAGAAAATAATAATTTCCGTAGTATGAAAAAGGGGAAGTGAATCACCAAATCAATAATATTATCTTTTTAAATTAAAACAAATCATTTTTAAAAATAAGTAACTACCTTCTTTTGCACCAGCACGGATTGCAGCAACATTTTATACAAGGTGTCTCATTAGTCATTTGTCGGAGGAGCCTTTCTACACAACTGGCATGGGACAGTTGAACAAACTTTTGAGCAAAAAAAGTATTAGGTATTTTTTACATTATAACGAAGGTTATGAATCAAAATTAAGTGGTGTAAAATATAATAATAGCACAAAATTATGTAATCTTTTTGAAGTTGCACAACTGCACTAAGCTTTATGCCTGGGTATATAAGTTATTAACGATAACATCACATTAAACCAGTTTAAAGTAAATATCTTAAATATCTTGGAAGATAAGTTATCTTCAATCGTGAATATTTTTGGTACCGCATAGTTCAATTGTGCAAACAAAATTTAATGAAACAAAGTAGGTAATAGGTGTTAAGAAAACATACGTCGTTTTAATGAACCCCCGCAACCTAAAAAAAACAAAAAATAATTTTTATTTATTGAGAACTTTTAACAATAAAACATTTTTAATAGTTAACATGTAAGAAAATAATAGCTTTAATTATAACATTTTTTACACGATTTTTAAAACTGCTAAGAGGGTTACTATTCTAATTCCAGTAGAAGAAAATTAACCAGATTTCATGTATTGCTGGCGGTTTGAACTTATACAGTGTTAGAGAAAGGGTTCGACGATAAACAGGGGGAAAAAAAGGATAATAATAAGAAAAAGAACTGCCTTAATAATAATTTAACTAAAAAATAAAATACTAAAAAGTAAAAAATAATTTTACTACGAGAACAATTTTCCAATCAATTGTATCACATTTTTTTTCTAAATGTCAATTACTTTGAAAACAACCGAAAATCAACTACAATTTTTAATCATGTTAAATATCTTTAAGTTTTGACATAAAATAAAATCGTGGGCTCTATTCATCCAAGATAAGTGTCTATGCCATATTTTAGACCTCTGCGACATCGGGAAATGAGTTAAATTAACTTTGCAAAATTTTAAAAATACACGTTTTTACAAAGGTACAAACGTGGTAGCGAGTTAAAGAAGAGCATGTAATATAAAAAAGAAAGTATACATCAAGTAACCACTAACTCTATTGTCTATACAATACCTTTAGGTTTATTTGACTGCTTGCCACCAACTATAATCCGTCAAATAATACATATAAAATTAATATTAAAAAAAAAACCAATGAGTTTAAATAGGAATCATGTTTTATACGATTGTTTAGTACTTTGGTGCAGCTTTTACATAAAAAAAAATCTTTATTGAAATGTTGTAGATTTATCTGGCTTACTATCATTTTCATCTCTAAAATTTCTTACCATTTTTATAAAATATTTATTGAAATTTCCACATTTAAAATTGTTTGTTAGGAAATATTTTATTTACTAATAAACATAGGAAAATATGTCAAATTCCATTAAACTAAATTTATTATGAAACAATTTATAAAATATGTAGGTATGACAAATAATTTTTCGTTCGGCTGTCTTAGAGTAATATAAAGAATGATTTATATCCTTAAACACTATATATGTTTATGTATATTATATATAAACATTATCCATTAGGTAACTACAAATTCCTTAGTATATACTAACCTAATTGGACATTCTCCTGTTCATCACCTAACCAACAAATTAATGTATTGCTTGTATATATATATATTATCCATTAGGTAACTACTAACCTTTTGGCATATTTGACGATTGACCACCTAAACCAACAGGTTACACAAATTAAATTAACGTTATTTTAATAAATATTATATATAAACATTGTCCATTAGGTAACTACAATCTCCTTAGTTTATACTAACCTAATTGGACATTCTCCGGTTCATCACCTAACCAACAAATTAATGTATTGCTTGTATACATATATATATTATCCATTAGGTAACTACTAACCTTTTGGCATATTTGACGATTCACCACCTAAACCAACAGGATATACAAATCAAATAAATGTTATTTTAATAAATATTATATATAAACATTGTCCATTAGGTAACTACAAACTCCTTAGTTTATACTAACCTAATTGGACATTCTCCGGTTCATCACCTAACCAACAAATTAATGTATTGCTTGTATACATATATATATTATCCATTAGGTAACTACTAACCTTTTGGGATATTTGACGATTGACCACCTAAACCAACAGGATATACAAATCAAATAAATGTTATTTTAATAAATATTATATATAAACATTGTCCATTAGGTAACTACAATCTCCTTAGTTTATACTAACCTAATTGGACATTCTCCGGTTCATCACCTAACCAACAAATTAATGTATTGCTTGTATACATATATATATTATCCATTAGGTAACTACTAACCTTTTGGGATATTTGACGATTGACCACCTAAACCAACAGGATATACAAATCAAATAAATGTTATTTTAATAAATATTATATATAAACATTGTCCATTAGGTAACTACAATCTCCTTAGTTTATACTAACCTAATTGGACATTCTCCGGTTCATCACCTAACCAACAAATTAATGTATTGCTTGTATACATATATATATTATCCATTAGGTAACTACTAACCTTTTGGGATATTTGACGATTGACCACCTAAACCAACAGGATATACAAATCAAATAAATGTTATTTTAATAAATATTATATATAAACATTATCCATTAGGTAACTACAAACTCCTTAGTTTATACTAACTTAGTTGGACATTCTCCGGTTCATCACCTAACCAACAAATTAATGTATTGCTAACTTTAAATTAATGTTAAAAATATATAATTTTTTGTTATAAAATATTGTTTTCACTAATGTAGAGTAATATGTATACTTCTAAATAATTAAATTTATTTTCAAATATATCCTAAAATATATGAACTACTAAATCCTTAGTTAATACTGACCTATTGGGGCATTTGACGATTCACCACCTAAGCCAACAGGTTATACAAATAATATTAATGTTATGCTAACTTTAAATTAATGTAAAAAGTCTTTTATTCTGTTGTTTTCACTAACGCATGTAACTTCTTAAGAATTAAATTTAAATGTATGATACAAGCCATTTGATAATAATTAGTTACTCTCGTATATATGTTAAGGTAGTCAAATTATTCTTTATTTCTTCAATTACTGACTACCTGATGTACAAACTACTGACTCCTTAGTTTATACTGACCTATGGAGGCATTTGACGATTCACCACCTAAACCAACAGGTTATAAAAATTAAATAATTGTTTAGCTGACTTTAAATAAATGTAAAAAATCTTTAATTTTCTGGTTTATATTATTGTTTTCACCAATGTTGAGTAACTGAGTACCCATTGTATTGTTTAACACCCAACTGTGTTAAATCTTGTTGTTTAAATTTAACCTGAAATCGATCAACGACTAATAGAGTAAATTAAGACTACCACGGTGGTAAAAGTTGAAACAGTTTTCAAATGAAAGTTCAAATTAAACCAAGAAATTGATTTCAGTAGTGTCGAATAACATTTTGATTACAGTTTCATCTAAAATTGAAATAAATCGACTTGCCAATAAAAATACGTTGTAAGTACTTGTAAATCGTAATTGTTAAAAGTTAATACTATTACTAAGTAGTAAATAGGTACAGACACACTAGTCCCTAAAGTAAGCAGATATTATTGACCATTGAGTATTTTAACTTTTAAGGTTAGCCGTTAACGACAATGCATGTATTATCATAGCTATATAACGTACCATTCTCCTCATCTTCACCTATTCGGATATCTGTCAGTAAATGATCTAAACCAATAGGTTATAAAAATTAAATTAATGTTTTGCAAACTTTAAATGATTGTAAAAAATATTAAATTTTTCGTTATAAAATATTGTTTTCCCCAATGTAGAGTAATATGTATACTTCTAAATAATTAAATTTATTTTCAAATATATACTAAATTATATGAACTACTAACTTCTTAGTACATACTGACCTATTGGGATCCTTAGCACTTCATCACCTAAACCAACAGGTTATACAAATAATATTAATGTTATGCTAACTTTAAATTGATGTATAAAGTCTTTTATTTTCTGTTTTTTTCACTAACGTGAAGTAATATGTAACTTCTCGAGAATTAAATTTAAATATACGATACTAGCTATTTGATAATAATTAGTTAATCTCATATAAATTTTAAGGTAGTCAAATTATTCTTAGTTTATACTGACCTTTTGGGGCATTTGACGATTGACCACCTAAGTCAACAGGTCATACAAATAAAATGAATGTAAAAATAATTGATTTTCTGTTATATAATATTGTGCTTGCTAATTTTGAGTAATATGTATACTTCTAAAGAATTAAATTATATTCAAATATTTCTCAAAATATATGTGACAAGCAGTTTAATAATAATTCGTTTTTCTCTTATATACTCTAAGATAGTCAAATTATCCATTATTGCTTCAATTGCTGTAGTCAGGTCTAATAATGGACGCTTGTTTAGAAATACTACCATTTACAAATGGTATACATATAAATAAGTAAGCACGGTGAGTAATAAAAGCAATTATATATGGCCCAAAACTATGAACGACCATTCGGGCATGTCTGTTTCGATGAAAAGAATATTATCAAATTTTTTTTTCAATTATTTTAGCCATAGTAGTCGTATAAAGTATTTTTAGTTTTTTTATTTACTCTAATTTTTTATCATTTTTCTATAGTATCTACTGCCATAAAAAATCTACTAAAAAACTGTTTCTTATGTAAAATAATCTCAGCTTTCTAAAAATAATATTGATTTATTTTTTCGAGAGACAGAGTATCATTTATTTAGCTTATAATATATATAAAAAAGAAAAATATGTAAATAATTAATATTAAATTAATATGTAAGTAATTCAACTATTATAATGATTAGTACATCTTATAACTCTTTTTTGCTTTTTAGGCGTTTTTATGAAGTATCTAGTTTTACAGTTTTCTCAGATTTTTAAAAAAATATCAGAAAAATTCTCAAGAGGGAAACACGAAAAAGTAAACTTTTTATATTACAAACTAACATTAAAAACTTTCTGTTACTCGAATAAAAACAATTATTTTACATAAGAATATAAGATAAGAATTATTTTTAACAAATGTTTTTATGTCCGAAGAGACTTTAAAAAAACGATTAAAACAAAAAGAGTGAAGGATAAAACTAAAAATATAATCATCAATTTGTAAGATAAGGACCAAAATAAACGAAAAAAATTGATTTACTGACGAAAAAGATTCTTTATGTCGGAACAGACATGCAGAATGAGTTTCAAATAGTTCTGCATGGGAGTGTTTCAAAAGGTCGTTCGTATTTGGCGTTTTGACACATGTATTATTAAAAAACAAAGTTAAATTACCAATCAACTTTTTTTCCACCTCATTTTTCCCACCTAACCAACGGATAACACAAATAAAATAACTGTTGATTGAATATCATTATTTACACATATTAGTGGGTGTAGCTTTAATAAAGCTCATTATTAAAATCATTAATTTTATCAAATATTTTATTTACTTTTAGTATCGTGTAAATATTCCAAAAACAAATGTATAATAAGAGTAATCATTAAGCGTACTGTTGTCTACTTTTAGGTCTATATTACTACACGGTCGTATTATACAATAAACTAGTAAATATATACAAGATAAATAGAAAACGTGTATAAAATTGTATATAAAATGTATAGCTGTATATAATTTATAAACGTACTTGGATATGGTCGACCTTGTGTGACTAAAATATATAAACAACAAAATTAGGTTTTAATATAAATTCATACTCGCGTACATAATTTTGAACATAATTTGTTATTTCATTAGAAACCATAAAATTATGATAATTATAGTGTTAAACCTGAGAATGTATTAAAAAAATACAAATAATAATTACCCAATGCTATTTCCATCATAATGAAAAACATAAAAAAAATTGTAGATTTTTGCATATTTTGTATCAATGAACTTTTGTAATTCTGAAAAATATTTCTACAATACACAACCTTTAAATGTACAGAGAAAAATGTAAATGGACATAATGTATATTATTTAGCAAGTTGTATTCAGGCTATAGGTATGGTAACAGATGTATTAAAGTATGACGCAAAAGGCAATGTTATTTGTAAAAAACAAAATGGTACATGTTTTCAAAAAACCTGTAAGGTGGAGCAAACCTAACGTTAGCAATAAACATCTTCGGTTGAAGTTAAAAAATAATAATTGTACAATATTTTAAATATTCCAATACAACATAAAAAATTATCCAATTTTATACGTTATCATAATTTTTTTTTAAAACTGCATATAAAGTATAATACATTTTCCTGACATTTACTATTGTAACATCACATTTTTATTAAATACTAAACGCATATGCACTGAGCAAGCTAAATATCCCGTTGCTATGACTCATCTATCCCCCTTTTTATACAGAATGATTTCTGGGGGATGCATAAAAAAGACTGTCATTAAGTTTCAAGTTCTTGGCAGGAAGAGATAAGATGGAGTGTAGTATTCTTTTTATGTGCGTACATTTCCCAACCAAACTTTCCCTTCTATCCTAACTTTGAAACTCTTATAATTTTAAAAATAGTCATTTTAAAATGGTTATCGCCCAGTTAACATTTTTAGTATCATTACCAGCGTTTCCATTCAAGTTTTAAACGTTGCTATCAAAAAAACTAAAAAAATAACATTATATAAAAACATTTTGGGGAAAAAAATTCAATTATTAATTAAACCCATTGGATATTGAGTGATTCACGATAAGTTGACAACCCTGTATATCATATGTAGTTTATTTTATATTGGCCCAACCAAATCTATGGTCAATATACGAGCACAATACATATCTATTTGAACTGATTAATTAAACAGTTGTTCCAACTAAACATTTAGTTGGACCAATTAACAATTTTATTATATAGCGTTGTATAAAGCGACTATCCAATATTTCAAATATTTCAGATATTATTCGAACATATTAGGTCATAATGTTAAATATATTATTATACCGAACCTCAAGGAAGAAAATCATCGATTAATAAGTTTCTTGTTAAAAGTAACCTATTCAAATAAATAATTATATTGGGCACCAGATGTACCTTGTGTTACCTATTAATTTAATAATTAAGTAACTCTCCTAAAAGTACAAATTGGTTCAACTAAATCTATGGTTAAAATACGAGCACAAAACATTTTTATTTGGACTGATTATTTAAAAAGTTGGTGCAGCTAATAGTATGATTCTTATAGGGGCACAAGGTGCTTTTAGGTGGTTATTCCGCCTAAAAGTTTAATGTCTCCATGTAATAGTCCATAGTTTAAGTTGGAGCAACTGTTTTTTTCGTGTAGGAGGGTGGTATACAAATCAACAGTAAAAATATATCAATATTATGTTTTCCTGTTATATACAGGAGATTTATTGATTATAACACGCTAATTTGCTTAATATAATAGTAGTATTTAGTTTCTCTTTTTAAAAACATGTACAATTACTAAATTTTAAAGCATTTTCGGGTCGAAAAAATTTTAACGAATAAAGTGTTCATTGTTTAACAATAGTTATTTAAACTATATTGAAACAGATTTAGTAAAGTATGACGTCGCATAAGGCATGTTATTTGAAAAACAACAGAACGTTCATGTTACTGAAAAAATTTGAGCCGGATAAAACATATTTTCGTTAGCAATAAACAATTGTCTAATATTTCATATATTTCACATATTTTTCGAACAAAGTATGTTAAAATGTTTAATATATTATTATACCGAGCCGTAATTCAGAAAATTATCGATGAATATTGAATAGGTTTCTTGTTAAAAGTAACCCGTTTAAATAAGATGTACAAGATGTACCTTGTGTTACCTATTACTTTAAGTTATAGTATGGTTATTATAGGGGCACAATAAATATCTAGTTTTTTCTGTGTAGGGGGTTGGTATACAAATCAATAGAAAAAATGTATCAATTATTATGTTTTCTGTTATATACGGAAAATTCATTAGGGATATGATACTAATTTGCTTCTGTTCCTCTTTTTAAAAACATATACAATTAATACATTTTTAAGCATTTTCGGGTCGTAAACAATTTAAACGAATACATTATTTAATTATAGTTATTTAAACTATATTGATACAGATTTATTAAAGTATGACGCAAATGGCAATGTTGTTGTAAAAAAAACCGAACGTTCATGTTTCGAAAAAGCACTTCAGCCGAAAAAAAATATTTCGTTAGCTATAAACAATTTTGAATAGCATTGTATAAAATAATGGTCTATTATTTAAAATATTCTTAATATTTTTCGAAAACTGTAAGTTAAAATGTTTAATATATTATTATACCGAGCCGTAATTCAGAAAATTATCGATGAATATTGAATAGGTTTCTTGTTAAATATAACCCGTTTAAATAAGATGTACAAGATGTACCTTGTGTTACCTATTAATTTAAATAATAGTATGGTTATTATAAGGGCACAATAAATATCTAGTTTAAATAACAAAATAAATGGTTGCTCCAACTAAATATTTAGTTAGGCCAACTATTTATTTATTTATTCCTCCTAGACATTTATTTATTATCCGATAGATTAAGTTGGACCAACTATGTATTTTTTTCTGTGTTGGAGGGTGTTATACAAATCAATAGTAAAATAGTTATTTTTATATGCGCGCATTTTCCAACCGCACTTCAAAATTTGTTCGATTTATACAATATGAAAATATTACAATATTATTAAAAACCATTAAATAGTACAACAAGTTTTGAGTATTTACTTTTAAAGTTTTTAAAGTCTTAAATTTTTGACGGGTGGAACGTTTGATCTATCCGCGTATTATAAACTGTACATGTGAGTTATAATATTATTTTGAAATTGCGTGTATCGATTCATAAGCCTTTATTTTAGCTGAACCTTCGAACTTAAATCATTTAATTAATCCTCAAACCGAAGGCACCACCTTGTCACCACTTGAGTTTTCTAGAATTTTACATTCACACCAAATCAATTGTGAAAAGATTGCGGTTATTATATTTTTATTTTATCCGAAGATTTATCTAGACAAACCCCTTTGAGATTATGCAAAACGTCGACATGGCCTATAACAACAGAGGAATCATATACACATTGTATTTGAACAAAGCTACAGTAATAAAATCTGGTGAAAATATTTTTTTAATTTTTTTTTTTAACATTTTATTGGTAAAACAAACAATCTGTAATTATTATATTACATTAAGTCCGTAAGCGGAAATAATACAATGACATGGATACACATGAATAAAAGCCGCCGCCCAATGGCGGCACTCTTTAACTTGAGTGGTTTAGGCATTTTATTGGATTGACTTGGGATTTTAATTTACATTTAAATCTCTACACCATTTCCTCTTTAGCCTACGGGGTGGGTTGCCTGGGATGGTATCGGAATTGAGGGCGGATATTAAAGGATTTTTATGATTTGTCAGACGAGAACGGAATCGTTTATAGAGGATTTTGGCCGTTTCGTCAACTGTGTTTATTTTTAAGTCAGTGTGTAAAGTATGGTTAGAGACGTAGGCAGGGGCGTTCGTGATAATACGGATAGGTTATAGATTGGAAAGCTTGTATTTAGTTCGTATATGATTTTTTTGCCGCTCCCCAGAGTTGGATGCCGTAAGTCCAAATTGGCATCAAGAGAGTTTTATAAAGTAGGATTTTTGTTTTTAAGCTGAGGTTTGAGTGTTTACCAACTAGGTAATAGACTGATTACCTCCTCGAGTGTAAAAGGATTCTTTTGTTTTTTATGTGGTGAGCCCAGGTTAGCCGTTGGTCAAGGATTAGACCTAAATAGCGAGCGTTAGAGGATTTCGGTATATTTTTATTGTTTAATGTAACAGATGGGATTGTTCCCTGTTTTAAAGTAAACGTCAAATGATGAGATTGGTGAAAATATAGTAAACAAGTTTGAAAACTTGTACTAATGAAAAACAAGATATATTTAATTTTCCAGATAGTAGAGGTTTATTATGCATTCGTGAAATATATGGTTTTGGTTTAGTAATATTTTAGGTACACAATTTAATTTTTTTTTATTTATTTAGAAGCTGTATTTATAACTGTATATGTCTGCAATTCGGATTGTTGTCATTTTTGGATATTTTCTGTCAAAAAAAAAACTTTATTAATACATAGCTTAGATAGAATTAATTTTTATAATGTTACCTATGTTAAAAAAAAAACAATGTAAATTAATTATATTTTGTATTTTCGTTATTAAGACGCTGTCAAGGAATTCCCTCGGAAGAAAAAAATAATTTCCGTAATATGAAAAAGGGGAAGTGAATCACCAAATTAATAATGTTCACTTTTTAAATTAAAACAAATCATCTTTTAAAAATAAGTAATGACTACCTACTTTTGCACCAGCACGGATTGCAGCAAAATTTTATACAAGGTGTCTCATTAGTCATTTGTCGGAGGAGCCTTATTACACAACTGACAGCATTTGACAGTTGAACAAACTTTTAAGCAAAAAAAGTATTAGTTATTTTTAAAATATAACGAAGATTATGATTAAAATCTATTGGTGTAAAATATAAAAATAGCACAAAATGATGAAATCTTTTTGAAGTTGCACAACTGCACTAAGCTTTATGCCTGGGTATATATATATATATATAAGTTCAAATCATTGCACAATGTACACGAACATAAAATATGCGTTTTATAATAATATACTTTATATTACAGTGTATACTATTATACAACATGTTTAAAATTGTTTTAAAGATATTCGATTATAGAACTATTATAAATCCAACATTTCAAAATAAACGAACAAGAGATTTAAGACGTCCAAGATAAGTTATCTTCAATCGTGAATATTTTTGGTACCGCATAGTTCAATTGTGCAAACAAAATTTAATGAAACAAAGTAGGTAATAGATGTTAAGAAAACATACGTCGTTTTAATGAACCCCCGCAAACTAAAAAAAAACAAAAAATTTGTTTTATTTATTTGAGAACTTTTAACAATAAAACATTTTTTATAGTTAACATGTAAGAAAATAATAGCTTTAAATATAACATTTTTTACACGATTTTTAAAACTGCTAAAAAGGGTTACTATTCTAATTCCAGTAGAAGAAAATTAACCAGATTTCATGTATTGCTGGTGGTTTGAACTTATACAGTGTTAGAGTAAGGGTTCGACGATAAACAGGGGGAAAAAATGATAATGGTAAGAAAAAGAACTGACTTGATGGTATACAAAAATAATAAATTAACCAAAAAAAAAAAAAAAATACTAAAAAGTAAAAAATAATTTTACTACGAGAACAATTTACAAATCAATTGTATCACATTTTTTTTCTAAATGTCAATTACTTTGAAAACAACCGAAAATTAACTACAATTTTAAATAATGTTAAACAACTTTAATTTTTGACTTATAATAAAAGCGTGGGCTATATTCAACAAATAGAGCCCCCGCGTTTCTTTTTAGTAAACAATTAAAGATCTTTAACATTATTTGAAATTGTTAATTTTGTACTTATTAATTTTATTTTTTACTGTTTAGTCTTATTAAAGGTACTTAATAATTGCGAATAAGTTCCTAAGTTAATTTTGGAAGATTTGAAAAAACATGAAACTTTAGTGAAATGACCCCCTTAATTTGACCCCCTGGCATTTGCTAATTGGACGTCAAGGTCTCAATAATATTACAGGATATTGTATTGTCATCCAAGATAAGTGTCTGTGGTATGTTTCAGCCCTCTACGACATCGGGAAATGAGTTCAATTAACTTTGCAAAATTTTAAAAATACACGTTTTTACAAAGGTACAAACGTGGTAGCGAGTTAAAGAAGAGCATGTAATATAAAAAAGAAAGTATACATCAAGTAACCACTAACTCTATTGTCTATACAATACCTTGAGGTTTTTTTGACTGGTTGACGCTAACTATAATCCGTCAAATAATACATATTAAATTAATATTTAAAAAAAAAAACCAATGAGTTTAAATAGGAATCATGTTTTATACGATTGTTTAGAACTTTGGTGCAGCTTTTACATAAAAAAAAATCTTTATTGAAATGTTGCAGATTTATCTGGCTTACTATCATTTTCATCTCTAAAATTTCTTACCATATTTTTTAAATATTTATTGAAATATCCACATTTAAAATTGTTTGTTAGGAAATTTTTTATTTACTAATAAACATAGGAAAATATGTCAAATTCCATTAAACTAAATTTATTATGAAACAATTTATAAAATATGTAGGTATGACAAATAATTTTTCGTTCGGCTGACTTGGAGTAATATAAAGAATGATTTCTATCCTAAAACACTAAGCATGTGTATGTTTATACACAGTATCCGTTAGATAACTACAAACTTCTTAGTTTATACTAACCTAATTGGACATTCTCCTGTTCATCATCTAACCAACAAATTAATGTATTGCTTGTATATGTATGTATATATATATATTATCCATTAGGTAACTACTAACTCCTTAGTTTATACTGACCTGTTGGGACATATGACGATTGACTACCTAAACCAACAGGTTACACAAATTAAATTAATGTTATTTAAATAAATATTATATATAAACATTATCCACTTAGAATTTGTTGTTAGGAAATATTTTATTTTCAGTAAATAAAGAAAAAAAAATATGTGAAATTCCAATTAACTAAATTTAAGAATGAAATAGTTTATATGATATGTATGACAAACAATTTTTCGTTTGGCTATCTCAGAGTAATATAAAGAATGATTTCTATCCTAAGACCCTAAATATGTGTATGTTTATCCACATTATCCATTAGGTAACTACTAACTCCTTAGTTTATACTGACCTGTAGAGACATTTGACCATTCATTACCTAAACCAACAGGTTACACAAATCAAATAAATGTTATATTAATAAATATTGTATATAAACATTATCTATTAGGTAACTACAAACTCCTTAGTTTATATTAACCTAATTGGACATTCTCCGGTTCATCACCTAACCAACAAATTAATATATTGCTAACTCTAAATTAATGTTAAAAATATTAAATTTGTTGTTATAAAATATTGTTTTCACTAATGTAGAGTAATATATGTCTAAATAATTAAATTTATTTTTAAACATATTTTAAAATATATGAACTACTAACTCCTTAGTTTATACTGACCTGTAGAGACATTTGACGATTCACCACCTAAGCCAACAGGTTATACAAATAATATTAATGTTATGCTAACTTTAAATTGATGTAAAAAGTCTTGCAAATAAATGTTATATTAATAAATATTGTATATAAACATTATCTATTAGGTAACTACAAACTCCTTAGTTTATATTAACCTAATTGGACATTCTCCGGTTCATCACCCAACCAACAAATTAATATATTGCTAACTTTAAATTAATGTTAAAAATATTAAATTTTTTTTTATAAAATATTGTTTTCACTAATGTAGAGTAATATATGTATACTTCTAAATAATAAATTTATTTTCAAACATATTTTAAAATATATGAACTACTAACTCCTTAGTTTATACTGACCTGTTGGGACATATGACGATTCACTATCTAAACCAACCGGTTACACAAATTAAATTAATGTTATTTAAATAAATATTATATATATAAATATATCCACTTAGAAATTGTTGTTAGGAAATATTTTATTTTCAGTAAATAAAGATAAAAAAATTATATGAAATTCCAATTAACTAAATTTAAGAATGAAATAGTTTATATGATATGTATGACAAACAATTTTTGTTTGGCTATCTCAGAGTAATATAAAGAATGATTTCTATCCTAAAACACTAAATATGTGTATGTTTATCCACATTATCCATTAGGTAACTACTAACTCCTTAGTTTATACTGACCTGTAGAGACATTTGACGATTCACTATCTAAACCAACAGGTTATACAAATAATATTAATGTTATGCTAACTTTAAATTGATGTGAAAAGTCTATTTTTCTGTTGTTTTCACTAACGCAGAGTAACATGTAACTTCTTAAGAATTAAATTTAAATATATGATACAAGCCATTTGATAATAATTAGTTATTCTCGTATAAATTTTAAGGTAGTCAAATTATCCTTTATTGCTTCAATTGCTGTAGTCAGGTCTAATAATGGACGCTTGTTTAGAAATACTACCATTTACAAATGGTATACATATAAATAAGTAATCACGGTGAGTAATAAAAGCAAATTTATATGGCCCAATACTTCAAATATGAACGACCATTCGGGCATGTCTGTTTCGATGAAAAGATATTCTCAAATTTTTTTTCAATTATTTTAGCCATAGTAGTCGTATAAAGTATTTTTAGTTTATTTTATTTACTCAAATTTTTTATCGTTTTTCTATAGTATCTACTGCCATAAAAAAACTATTAATAAACAGTTTCTTATGTAAAATAATCTCAGCTTTCTGAAAATAATATTGATTTATTTTTTCGAGAGACAGAGTATCATTTATTGAGCTTATAATATATATAAAAAAGAAAAATATGTAAATTTTACACACATTTCAACTATTATAATGATTAGTACATCTTATAACTCTTTTTTGCTTTTTAGGCGTTTTTATGAAGTATCTAGTTTAAAAGTTTTCTCAGATTTTTAAAAAAATATCAGAAAAATTCTCAAGAGGGAAACACGAAAAAGTAAACTTTTTAGATTATAAACTAACATTAAAAACTTTCTGTTACTCGAATAAAAACAATTATTTTACATAAGAATATAAGATAAGAATTATTTTTAACAAATGTTTTTATGTCCGAAGAGACTTTAAAAAAACGATTAAAACAAAAAGAGTGAAGGATAAAACTAAAAATATAATCATCAATTTGTAAGATAAGGACCAAAATAAACGAAAAAAATTGATTTACTGACGAAAAACATTCTTTATGTCGGAACAGACATGCAGGGTGAGTTTCAAATAGTTCTGCATGGGAGTGTTTCAAAAGGTCGTTCGTATTTGGCGTTTTGACACATGTATTATTAAAAAACAAAGTTAAATTACCAATCAACTTTTTTTCCACCACATTTTTCCCACCTAACCAACGGATAACACAAATAAAATAACTGTTGATTGAATATCATTATTTACACATATTAGTGGGTGCAGCTTTAATAAAGCTCATTATAAAAATCATTATTTTTATCAAATATTTTATTTACTTTTGGTACCGTGTAAATACTCCAAAAACAAATGTATAATAAGAGTAATCATTAAGCGTACTGTTGTCTACTTTTAGGTCTATATTACTACACGGTCGTATTATACAATAAACTAGTAAATATATACAAGATAAATAGAAAACGTGTATAAAATTGTATATAAAATGTATAGCTGTATATAATTTATTAACGTATTTGGAAATGGTTGACCTTGTGTGACTAAAATATATAAACAACAAAATTAGGTTTTAATATAAATTCATACTCGCGTACATAATTTTGAACATAATTTGTTATTTCATTAGAAACCATAAAATTATGATAATTATAGTGTTAAACCTGAGAATGTATTAAAAAAAATACAAATAATAATTACCCAATGCTATTTCCATCATAATGAAAAACATGAAAAAAATTGTAGATTTTTGCATATTTTGTATCAATGAACTTTTGTAATTCTGAAAAATATTTCTACAATACACAACCTTTAAATGTACAGAGAAAAATGTAAATGGACATAATGTATATTATTTAGCAAGTTGTGTTCAGGCTATAGGTATAGTAACAGATGTATTAAAGTATGACGCAAAAGGCAATGTTATTTGTAAAAAACAAAATGGTACATGTTTTCAAAAAACCTGTGAGGTGGAGCAAACCTAACGTTAGCAATAAACATCTTCGGTTGAAGTTAAAAAATAATAATTGTACAATATTTTAAATATTCCAATACAACATAAAAAATTATCCAATTTTATACGTTATCATAATTTTTTTTTAAAACTGCATATAAAGTATAATACATTTTCCTGACATTTACTATTGTAACATCACATTTTTATTAAATACTAAACGCATATGCACTGAGCAAGCTAAATATCCCGTTGCTATGACTCATCTATCCCCCTTTTTATACAGAATGATTTCTGGGGGATGCATAAAAAAGACTGTCATTAAGTTTCAAGTTCTTGGCAGGAAGAGATAAGATGGAGTGTAGTATTCTTTTTATGTGCGTACATTTCCCAACCAAACTTTCCCTTCTATCCTAACTTTTAAACTCTTATAACTTTAAAAATAGTCATTTTAAAATGGTTATCGCCAAGTCAACATTTTTAGTATCGTTACCAGCGTTTCCATTTAAGTTTTAAACGTTGCTATCAAAAAAACTAAAAAAATAACATTATATAAAAACATTTTGGGGAAAAAAATTCAATTATTAATTAAACCCAGTGAGATATTAAGTGGTTCACGATAAGTTGACAACCCTGTATATCATATGTAGTTTATTTTATATTGGCCCAACCAAATCTATGGTCAATATACGAGCACAATACATATCTATTTAAACTGATTAATTAAACAGTTGTTCCAACTAAACATTTAGTTGGACCAACTATTTTTTTTCTGTGTAGGGGGGTGGTATACAAATCAATATTAAAAATATATCAATTTTTTGTGTGTATTTTTTCTGAGTTAATTAATTCGTATTAATTTAGAAATATGTTTGAGTCGAAAAGATTGAAACAAATATAATATACATTATTTCATAAATGTTAGTTTAATTAGATTAAAACAGTTTTATTGGAGTATTGTTGGAGTATGACTAATGGCAATGTTATTTGTAAAATCACAGAACGTTTAATGTTTTTAAAAAATACTTGAGCCGGATAAAACATTTCGTTAGCAATTAACAATTTTATTTTATAGCGTTGTATAAAACGACTATCCAATATTTCAGATATGTTTCGAACATATTAGGTCATAATGTTAAATATATTATTACACCGAACCTCAAGGAAGAAAATTATCAAAAAATAATTTTCTTGTTACATGTAACCCATTCAAATAAATAATTATATTGGGCACCAGATGTACCTTGTGTTTCCTGTTAATTTAATAATTAAGTAACTCTCCTAAAAATACAAATTGGTTTAACTTAATCTATGGTTAATATACGAGCACAATACATATTTATTTGGACTGATTAATTAAAAAGTTGGTCCAGCTAAAAGTATGATTCTTATAGGGGCACAATACAATTCTAGTTGAAATAACTAAAAAAAAGTTTTTCAACTATATATTTAGTTGGACCCCATTATTTATTTGGTTATTCCACCTAAAAGTTGAATGTATCCATATAATAGTCCATAGATTAAGTTGGACCAACTGTTTTTTTCCGTGTAGCAGGGTGGTATACAAATCAATAGTAAACATATATTAATTTTATTTTTTCCTGTTACATACAGATTATTTTTTGAGGATAACACACTAATTTGCTTAATATAATTGTAGTATTTAGTTTCTCTTTTTAAAAACACATACAAATACTAAATTTTAAAGCATTTTCGGGTCGAAAAAAATTTAAACGAATATAGTGTACATTATTTAACAATAGTTATTTAAACTATATTGGAACAGATTTATTAAAGTATGACGCAAATAGCAATGTTGTTGTAAAAAAACAGAACGTTCATGTTTCTAAAAAGCACTTGGGCCGGATAAAATATTTCGTTAGTAAAAAAACAATTTTGGTTATCGTTGTATAAAAAAATTGTCCAATATTTCAAATATTCTTATTATTTTTCGAACGCTATAAGTCAAAATATTAAATTTATTATTATACCAAGCCTCAAGTCACAAACCATTAATGAATATGTTTCTTATTAAAAGAAACCCGTTAAAATTACTAAATATATCGGCCTAAGATGTACCCCATGTTATCTATTATATTTAAGTACCTAATCAAGTAACACTTTCAAAAATACAAATTTGGTCCAAATAAACAATTAGTAATTTTCATTAGAAATTTATTACGACCCTATATTTACCATAATTGAATTTGGACCAGCTGTGTATTTTTTTATGTTTAGGGTGGTACACATAGGATATACACATCAATAGTATAATATAATTTAACGTATGTTATATACAAATGATTCATCAAGGATAAGGACATTTTTTTTTTAAAAGAATTGTAATTTTTAATTTTCCAATTATAATATAATTTACATAATAACATTTACAATCGACTAGGTTATTATTGGGGCACAATACATTTCTAGCCGAAATAACTAAAAAAAAGTTATTCCAACTATACGTTTAGTTGGACCCAATTATTTGTTTGGTTATTCCACCTAGAAGTTTATTATGTGCATTTATTTTCCCATATTTTTAGTTGGACAAACTATTTTTTTTCTGTGTAGGAGGGTGGTATACAAATCAATAGAAAAAATGTATCAATTTTATGTTTTCTGTTATATACAGAAAATTCATAAGGGATAAGATACCAATTTGCTTAAAATAATTGTAGTATTTAGTTTCCCTTTTAAAAACATATACAATTACTAAATTTTAAAGCATTTTCGGGTCGAAAAAAATTGAAACGAATATAGTGTACATTATTTAACAATAGTTATTTAAACTATATTGAAACAGATTTATTAAAGTATGACGCAAATAGCAATGTTGTTGTAAAAAAACAGAACGTTCATGTTTCTAAAAAGCACTTGGGCCGGATAAAATATTTCGTTAGTAAAAAAACAATTTTGGTTAGCGTTGTATAAAAAAATTGTCCAATATTTCAAATATTCTTGTTATTTTTCGAACGCTATAAGTCAAAATGAAAATCTATTTAAACTATATTGAAACAGATTTAGTAAAGTATGACGCCGCATAAGGCAATGTTATTTAAAAATTACAGAACGGTCATGTTACTAAAAAACATTTTAGCCGGATAAAACATGTTTTCGTTAGCAATAAACAATTGTCTAATATTTCATATATTCTACATATTTTTCGAACATAGTATGTTAAAATGTTTAATATATTATTATACCGAGCCGTAATTCAGAAAATTATCGATGATTATTGAATAGTTTTCTTGTTAAAAGTAACCCGTTTAAATAAGATGTACAAGATGTACCTTGTGTTACCTATTACTTTAAGTTATAGTATGGTTATTATAGGGGCACAATAAATATCTAGTTTTTTCTGTGTAGGGGGGTGGTTTACAAATCAATAGAACAAATGTATCAATTCTTATGTTTTCTGTTATATACGGAAAATTCATTAGGGATATGATACTAATTTGCTTAAAATAATTGTGGTATTTTGTTTCTCTTTTTAAAAACATATACAATTAATACATTTTTAAGCATTTTCGGGTCGTAAACAATTTAAACGAATACATTATTTAATTATAGTTATTTAAACTATATTGATACAGATTTATTAAAGTATGACGCAAATGGCAATGTTGTTGTAAAAAAAACAGAACGTTCATGTTTCGAAAAAGCACTTCAGCCGAAAAAAAATATTTCGTTAGCTATAAACAATTTTGAATAACATTGTATAAAATAATGGTCTATTATTTAAAATATTCTTAATATTTTTCGAAAACTGTAAGTCAAAATATTAAATTTATTATTATACTGAGCCTCAAGTCACAAAACATTAATGAATAAGTTTCTTATTAAAGAAACCCGTTCAAATTACTAAATATAATGGGCTAAGAGGTACCCTGTGTTCTCTATTATATTTAAGTACCTAATTAAGTAAATCATTCAAAAATACAATACGACCCTATGTTAACCATAATTGAATTTAGACCAGTTGTGTATTTTTTTATGTATAGGTCTTAGGATAGTAGTACACCCATCAATAGTATAATATATTAAATGTATGTTTTATGTTTTTTACAGATAACGGTTCATCAAGGATAAGGCAATTTTTTTTTATAAAAGAATTGTAATTTTTAATTTCCCATTTTTAAAACATTTACAATTGACTAAGTTATTATAGGGGCACAATACATTTCTAGCCGAAATAACTAAAATAAGTTATTCCAACTATACGTTTAGTAGGACCCAATTATTTATTTGGTTATTTCACCTAGAAGTTTTTTGTGTGCATTAACTATCCCAAAGTTTATGTTGGACAAACTGTTTTTTTTCTGTGTAGAAGGGAGGTATACAAATCAATAGAAAAAATGTATGAATTTTATATTTTCTGTTATATACAGAAAATTCATTAGGGATAAGATACTAATTTGCTTCAAATAATTTCCCTTTTTAAAAACGTATACATTTACTAAATTTTAAAGCATTTTCGGGTCGAAAAAAATTGAAACGAATATATTCTACATTATTTAACAAATGTTATTTAAACTATATTGAAACAGTTTTAATAAAGTATGACGCAAATGGCAATGTTATTTGAAAAATAACAGAACGTTCATGTTACTAAAAAACATTTGAGCCGGATAAAACATATTTTTGTTAGCAATAAACAATTGTCTAATATTTCATATATTTTTCGAACA